GAGATGTTTGTAATATTGAATACCCAACATGTGTCTGTGTTGATGTGCTTGAGATGTTTGTAATATTGAACAACAATCATGTGTCTGTGTTGATGTGCCTGAGATGTTTGTAATATTGAATACCCAACATGTGTCTGTGTTGATGTGCCTGAGATGTTTGTAATATTGAATACCCAACATGTGTCTGTGTTGATGTGCCTGAGATGTTTGTAATATTGAATACAACATGTGTCTGTGTTGATGTGCCTGAGATGTTTGTTATCTGAATACCCAACATGTGTCTGGTTTGATGTGCCTGAGAGTTGTTGTAATGTGCCTGGATGTTGTATATTGAACAACAATCATGTGTCTGTGTTGATGTGCCTGAGATGTTTGTAATATTGAATACAAAACATGTGTCTGTGTTGATGTGCCTGAGATGTTTGCAATATTGAACAACAAACGTGTGTCTGTGTTGATGTGCCTGAGATGTTTGTAATATTGAACACCCAACATGTGTCTGTGTTGATGTGCCTGAGATATTTGTAATATTGAATACCCAACATGTGTCTGTGTTAATGTGCCTGAGATGTTTGTAATATTGAACAACAATCATGTGTCTGTGTTGATGTGCCTGAGATGTTTGTAATATTAAATACCCGACATGTGTCTGTGTTGATGTGCCTGAGATGTTTGTAATATCTGAACACCCAACATGTGTCTGGGTTGACTGAACACCCAACATGTGTCTGTGTTGACTGAACACCCAACATGTGTCTGTGTTGATGTGCCTAAGATGTTTGTAAAATTGAACACCCAACTTGTTTCAGCTGTACAATGAGGAGATCATTGACCTGCTGGACACAAGCAAGGACCCTCTGTTGAAAGTAGGTAAACATGCTCTATTGTACACATAATTATGGTTTTCTGACAAGAATAACTTTTCATGCCCAGTAGAAACACATGGAAACTGAGCACTTTATCTGGGTTTACTTAGATCACAGTGCACATTCATTAGGTTACTTACAACACGATATACTTCAAAAGTTACTTAGACAGTAATACTTTCATCAAGAATTACTTAGACAATGATACACTTTCATCAAGAATTATTTAGATAATGATACACTTTCATCAAGAATTACTTAGACAATGATGCACTTTCATAAAGATTTACTTAGACAATGATACACTTTCATCAGTTTTTACTGAGATGATAACATAATTTTTGTGAGGTTTACACATATGATAAACGTTTTTTAAGGTTTACTTAGACCATCATATACTTTCATCAATATTTACTTTGCCCAGGATACACTTTTATTATCATCATGTAGCTGGTCCTTTGCAGAACGTCTGCCTGAAAGAAACTTGGTCTCTCGCCAGCTCTTCCGCCTCATGTACTTCCATACTCAAGGAATCACTTATATCCTGTGTCCATCTTTGTGTCTGTCAGCCCCTGCCCCTCTTTCCTGGTACCATGCCTTCTGCTATAATTTTTTTCAATCCGTTGTGGCGCTTGATATGACCAAAATATTTCAGCTTCCACACTTTTATCAGTGTTTACATATATCATGTGCTTTTTTAATGGGGCTATTTGTTTTATTTCTTTATTCTAAGAATCTGTTAGACTTATGTATTTGTTTCTTTTTGTTTTCATAGAATGTTACAAATTTGTTTGTGCTTCCTAATTTCTGAGGCATTAATTCTTCTTCTTCTTCTTCACTTCCTCTTTTACCGCTGTGGGTGTCGAGGGAGATATAAGGTTCTGTTTCTGGCTCTTCTGGTCGCCTCGGCCATAGGCACATCGTGCTGTTGTGGAGCTTCTCTGATGTTATCCTTCCATCTTGTTCTTGATCTACCTCTTGCTCTACGACCTTCTTCTCTTTGAGGCATTAATTAAATGCTAGAATTACTAGTTTATTGTTGACACTTTAACGCTACAATCATTAGTTATATGAAATGATGGGCTCTGTTTGTATTCCAGAGGCTCATGGGGTAAGGGAGGGGGGAACCCCTCAACCCAGTAGCATGCCATACAAGATGGCTTATAGGGGCTTGCTAAAAATGAATGTTTTATCCTTAAAAGGATTTGTGGCCCCATTTTTAAAAGGTGAGGATAGACCCACTTTGGACTTGGGCCAACAAGCATGTCATAAAAGCCAACTTCTTTTTCTTTGTGTTCACCAGCTGTTAACTCCGGCAGAAGTTCTCGTTTTTCGTCCAATAAAAGCCAACTCATTAGGGGTTTTCCTTTGATGTCAGAGGGCATCTGTCTGAAAGATGAGAAACCAACAGTCTGCATACACATATGCCAGATATGTAAAACAAATATGCATGCAAAACTCAAGTTATGAAACAAGACTAAAGTCCAGAAGAAGATGAACAATCACAACTTTTTGCTGGAGTTTACAGCCACTGAATGCAAAGAAGAAGAAGAATGCGTTGGGCTGAAAGTTGCAGATATTGCAATCACAACACCATGTGATAATCTCCCTTTTGAGGGTGAACACAAGAAAAGAATATGAAATAATAAATGAGTCCCCAGCCCATTGTGCTTTTGTCCAGGTTCGGTCACCAGAAGTGGCAGAGTTATTTACAACCAGTACAACTTTAGGGTTGATCCAGCCCCAAACAAAGGGCTACCAGACAACTTCCCCAGTATTCTGGGAAGAAAAGACAGTAAGGAAGGGAATTGGTCATCCCACCTTATATGTGCTGGCTTAGATTATGACTATCTACCCCCTAGGACATCACACTGAGCGATAAACACCCTGTGATACAAAGTGCCACCATTTGTTTGAGGATCACCCGGTCCCAGAAAAATATCCCAGAAACCCTGTTCAACTGTTCGGTTATATTAGGGCCCCCGGTAACAGCCAGGGTAAGGCTTCAAAATAACAAAACAATCGTCCACCATGGGGACAGGGATTAAAGTGAAGGCAAAACACATTATATTCCAGCAGGAGTAGCTACCGTGCTTTATTAATATCCTACCACAAACAAGGAAAATCTACAGGTCACGGGACAGTCTAATATTTCAGGTGGTGGTAGATAGGTTGCTTGAAGTCGTGGGACCTAGGCTGCACTTTTTCGTTGGACGTAGGTGGGTTGGGGTTAGAGCCAGTTTTAGATGATTTGGGGTCGTTAACAGCATCAGAAAGCCGGGAAACCCAGTATTACCACCCTCTAAAACGTTGGACCTTTCTGTGACATCATCTGGGGGTAGGATATTAATACAGAACCGTAGCTAGTACCGGATTCCTTTTACTAATGATCCTGTAGTTACAGTTACTGTGTCAAACACAGACTTGCATACCTGGCTGATGAACAAGGTAATGTTGTTTCCCATGTTTGCTTTTACAGGGAAAGAAATCCAATAACAGAATTCACGAAGATGCTAGTGGTGGCATCTACGTTGTTGGTGTGAACATAAGGGCAGTTTCCTCCCTTGATGACGTAAGATGTCTACTTGTTTTGTGGTTGTGAATGTTCTCCGATAACAAAAGCACAGTATGATGAGACATTTTTCCTCAGTGGATACCGGGCAGTGGACTTAACATTCATTGATTACTTTATAGTCATGTATATATATATATATATATATATATCTGTTTGTGTGTGTGTGGGTGTATGTGTGTGTGAGTGCATGGGCACACATGTGTGTTTGTGTGTGTGTAAGTATGTGTGAGAAATAGAGAGAGAAAAAATTGTCTGCTCCAGTAAGTAGTAACAGCACAGTAACTCATGCACAAATCTGATGAGGTTAACATAACAACTATCCGTCGCAGAAATAAGATCACTATGTCACAGGACAGGAATAGCTGAGTGCATGATTGCAGAAGAGTAGGCTAGTATACCAACTGTTCTTCATTGCCCTGAGTTTGATCCCACAAGGCTTAGTCTGTCTCTACAGAGTAGCTGTTGGCCCACTGATAGCATCACACAAAGCGTGAAGCTCTGTAGCTTCAGGACAATCCTAGTGATCTTCAGCCTCCTTGCATGTTTAAACCAAATGACAATGTTTTCAACTAAAGATGATTTTTAAGCTACGGGACATAAGGCTTAAACATTTCATTAGAGAAACCGTTAGTCTAGTAAGAGTTTTAACTTGAAGTCCTATGTTACCAGCAATATCACAGTTATGCTTGTAATGATTCTGAGGAGAGAGATGACTACTTTTGCTAGTTTCATAATTATAAGTAGATTTAGTAGCTCTGTTCCATTTCAAAGTTTGTTCCTTGCCTCCCATAATTTAATCCCTTCCATAGATTAATCCCTCCCATAGTTTAATCCCTCCCATAGTTTCATGTCTTAGTTTGATCCTTTACGTAACTTATTCCTAACCATAATTTATTTCTTTTACCTGCCACATACCTTCTTAGTTTCCAGCAAGTGGGGAACAGCTTAATTTATTATATTGGTAAATTTCAGCAGTTTAGTCAGAAATCAATGGCCATATCTTTCATGCTCTTAAATTTGTGAATGTTTTTCCTTATTAACTGAAATATGACTTTTTTGGTCTTCAGACTCTCCAGTGTCTCAGATTTGGTGCCTTATCCCGGGCCACAGCTTCAACCAACATGAACATCTCGTCTTCCCGGTCTCATGCCATTTTTACACTTCACATACGACAACATCGAGTGGTGAGAGATGAGGTTTGTGGAACTTTATGATAGAGAATTAGACAGTTTGAAGCATGCATTATTATGAATGTCAAAGAAGCCAGTTTTCTGATCATTGTTCCATTTTGGGGATACAGCACTGGACATATTTTACAGACCAAAGCAGCAGCACTTGATGGGTGATGTTGAAAGTATCACATTGGCTGCTTGACCACCCCAAATATTTTCAGTTACCTAGGCACCTCATTCTGCCTGGTGAGTTATAGGGCACTCTACAAATAAAGTAGCATATTTTGACATATGAAAAAGGTGGAGACAGGCATGCTCCATGCAGACAAGCAAGCACCACTTCAAAGGTCCTGGGTAGTTAGCATCCTTTGGATATTGTCTTCAGGATATTCCTGTGTGTTGGGAAATGAACAGGCAGGCAGACTGGCTGGCTCGGCACCACTTGATGGTGAACTGATGTATGACAAGCTGGATGTTGTGAAGGCCCTTTGGGAGCGAGTGAACAGTGCGAGGCACATCATGGTCTGAGGACATTGGTGCCGCGAGGAGTGACCAGGGAATCTGGCCGATGCTTGACATTCAGGGGAAAGGCGAGACGGATATACAGTCAGACAGTTACTGAAACCATCTGAATTTTAACTCTTCACTTGCTGCTGAAGATGGGGACAGAGCGCTTATAGGGATGTCCCGAGTGCTGTGATGTTGATTCATTATTCAACATTAAGCAACAATCAACATTCAGTATATTTGTAAAAGTGAAATAAATTGTGAATCTCTTTTGTTGCAAGCTGTTGGTGCTTTCCAATGAGAACTGTCTGGGTCAGAAAAAGCAAAAGTAAATAACTGTCTGGAGATAAGAAATTGACAAAGCGAAGGAAATGATATGGCAGTAGGAAAACGGTGATAATTGTGTGATGGAAGGCAATAGGGTAATCAATGTTTGGAGTTGATTATTACTTACTCTGAACAGCACTGGAAAAGAAAAGCACAGTATATCTTTCTGTGAATTAAAATATTCAGACCTTTTGTCCGCTAGAGGATGTCTGTTATCATAAGATTCATCTTTTTTGTGAGTGTGTGTGTGTGTGAGAGAGAGTATACCAGAATGTTTTTTGAGCCAGGAAAGGATGAGTCTATTAGAAATCATGGTTAAAGAGAACCTTCTGTTGAATGGAGCCGACTACACCCAGACTGCCACGAATGCACAGTTGTGTTAACAGCCAGGCCGCACAGTTGTGTTAACAGCCAGGCCGCACAGTTGTGTTAACAGCCAGGCCGCACAGTTGTGTTAACAGCCAGGGTGCACAGTTGTGTTAACAGCCAGGCCGCACAGTTGTGTTAACAGCCAGGCCGCACAGTTGTGTTAACAGCCAGGCCGCACAGTTGTGTTAACAGCCAGGCCGCACAGTTGTGTTAACAGCCAGGCCGCACAGTTGTGTTAACAGCCAGGCTGCACAGTTGTGTTAACAGCCAGGCCGCACAGTTGTGTTAACAGCCAGGCCGCACAGTTGTGTTAACAGCCAGGCCGCACAGTTGTGTTAACAGCCAGGCCGCACAGTTGTGTTAACAGCCAGGCCGCACAGTTGTGTTAACAGCCAGGCCGCACAGTTGTGTTAACAGCCAGGCCGCACAGTTGTGTTAACAGCCAGGCCGCACAGTTGTGTTAACAGCCAGGCCGCACAGTTGTGTTAACAGCCAGGCCGCACAGTTGTGTTAACAGCCAGGCCGCACAGTTGTGTTAACAGCCAGGCCGCACAGTTGTGTTAACAGCCAGGCCGCACAGTTGTGTTAACAGCCAGGCCGCACAGTTGTGTTAACAGCCAGGCCGCACAGTTGTGTTAACAGCCAGGCCGCACAGTTGTGTTAACAGCCAGGCCGCACAGTTGTGTTAACAGCCAGGCCGCACAGTTGTGTTAACAGCCAGGCCGCACAGTTGTGTTAACAGCCAGGCCGCACAGTTGTGTTAACAGCCAGGCCGCACAGTTTATTGTCAGGAATAATATACAGATGTGATTTCATTATGTTTGTGACTTATTATAGACATGTAACCAACATTATTTTCATGGCAACTAGAAAAAAGAAGTATTAGATACATTTTAATGTATACTGGCTTTAGCAGTATCTGATGTTGAATGTTTACATTGACATATTTGAGAATATTGACTAACATACGTTGTATATTTTCTGAAACAAACTAGTCTTTGCTGGTAGAAGGAAAAGAAGCAGATTCCAACCAAACTGAATTTGAGACATTAACAGCAAAGTTTCATTTTGTTGACTTGGCTGGTTCGGAGAGATTGAAGAGGACAGGGGCCACAGGGGATAGGGCTAGAGAGAGCATCTCAATCAACTGTGGTTTGGTAAGATCTGTTTGTGTTTTGTTTGTGTGTGTATCTATTACCATTGTGAAATATGCAAATAATTTTTCAACTCATTTTTAGTCTCTTTTTGAGAGCCAACATTGAAAACCACAAGCCACTGATGATGTCTAGTGACTATAACTGTAGTAAATATGCTTTGTCCTCATCCATATCATATATTACATCCGTATTAATTTTATAAATCCATAGCCTTATTGTCAAAAAGTTTTATTGTACAAATATCAAGTTCAACAGCATTGTTGAATGCACGAAAAGAACAATTCTAGAAACAGTGTTAATGATAAATCAAAATGAGTACTGGATAAATTATATTTAGTTATGATACAAAATCTGACGTGTGGGAGGACAAGGCAATGATGTAATAGTTATTGTGGGAAGAAAGACAATTATCTAATAGTTATTGTGAGAAGAAAGACAATTATCTAATAGTTATTGTGGGAAGAAAGACACTTATCTAATAGTTATTGTGAGAAGAAAGACACTTATCTAATAGTTATTGTGGGAAGAAAGACAATTATCTAATAGTTATTGTGGGAAGAAAGACAATTATCTAATAGTTATTGTGGGAAGAAAGACACTTATCTAATAGTTATTGTGAGAAGAAAGACAATTATCTAATAGTTATTGTGGGAAGAAAGACACTTTTCTAATAGTTATTGTGGGAAGAAAGACAATATCTAATAGTTATTGTGGAAGAAAGACACTTATCTAATAGTTATTGTGAGAAGAAAGACAATTATCTAATAGTTATTGTGGGAGGAAAGACAATTATCTAATAGTTATTGTGGGCAGAAAGACAATTATCTAATAGTTATTGTGGGAAGAAAGACAATTATCAAATAGTTATTGTGGGAAGAAAGACAATATCTAATAGTTATTGTGAGAAGAAAGACGATTATTAAATAGTTTTTGTGGGAAGAAAGAATATCTAATAGTTATTGTGAGAAGAAAGACAATTATCTAATAGTTATTGTGAGAAAAAAGACAATTATCTAATAGTTATTGTGGGAAGAAAGACAATTATTAAATAGTTATTGTGGGAAGAAAGAATATCTAATAGTTATTGTGAGAAGAAAGACATTTATCTAATAGTTATTGTGGGAAGAAAGACAATTATCTAATAGTTATTGTGGGAAGAATGACAATTATCTAATAGTTATAGTGGGAAGAAAGACAACTATCTAATAGTTATTGTGGGAAGAAAGCCAATGATCTAATAGCTATTGTGAGAAGAAAGACAATTATCTAATAGTTATTGTGGGAAGACAAGGCAATGATCTCTTAGGTAACAAAAGAAGTCAAGGAAGTATCTCTTGATGAATATGGGAAGTCAAGGCCTGGTATTATTGGTGGCATCTTTCTCCCTGCTTTATGTTATTGGTGCCAGGCATGGACAATGGGTGGGGGCACTAGGGCAGAGAATGACTATATGTGAGGTGCACTGTCTCCGCGGGGTCACTGGCAGTGTAGGAGAAGACAGGGTTGCAGGTACCGGCTTTGGAGAGAGAGTCGGAGTAGGACCATGTCTGAATTGTACTGAAGACAGGGAGGGAAGTGGTTAGGTCATCTGGTGGTAGTGCAGCTGGACCGGACTGCATGTGAGACTATTTGCAGTGGAGCGTCTGGGAAGGGGGAGCAGGGGAGAGATGGATGGATCGTGTGGCAGAGGCCTGCAAGAAGATGAGCAGATCCATCACCCCCCAGGTCACCTGAGGGGGGTGAACCACATACAGAAAACCGTGACACTGGGCTTCAACCTGCTATCAGTGAGATGACAAAAAAGAGAAGAAGGAGGCCTGGCCTCTAATCTATGATACCTTTAAATGTTAAATGAGAAAAGAAAAATAGTACAATTTTAAAACCCTGAACATTTTGACCCTTTCTCAGCTGGCACTGGGGAATGTGATATCTGCACTGGGAGACAACACAAAGAAAGGTTGCCATGTGCCGTATAGAGACTCTAAACTGACCAGACTTTTACAAGACTCATTGGGTGGCAATAGGTAAGACTCACTGCTGCACTCAAACACAGCTGCACTCAAACACAGCTGCACTCCAACACAGCTGCACTCAAACACAGCTGCACTCCAACACAGCTGCACTCAAACACAGCTGCACTCCAACACAGCTGCACTCAAACACAGCTGCACTCTAACACAGCTGCACTCAAACACAGCTGCACTCCAACACAGCTGCACTCAAACACAGCTTGTAGTTTTAGAGCCACTGCTGCTTCAGTAGGTTTAAGAATTCAGACAATGCAAACTGTGACTAGACAACTGAATAAAGAGGAAAGAAAAAAAACAAGCACATATGCATTCAGATATTTTTACTGTCTTTATTAGAAAAAAAAACAATAGGACTTCATTAGATACTTGGTAGCTCGTAGTTGAGCCTTCAGTTCCATTTCAGCACACAGGTCGCCCCATAATTGCTCCACTCCTATGTCACGGAAGGTCGCACAAAATGCCCTTTACTGTCCTCTACTACTTCAGGATGCTTAGTTAGTTAGTTGGCAGATCACCCTCCCTGCACATTAAATCACTCCATTGAGAAATGTTTAGATTCATTTCTCGGAATATCTCTCAGCGTCTGGTGATACCTGTTCTGAGTTGGTTTACTATTCTTCTTTTGCTTCCTATTAGAATTTTTGTCTGGCTTAATCCCTTTTTATATGCAGTCTGGTCAATGTTACGAAGTGTTTTTTTTTTTAAAATCATTTATTCACTCTGCTTCTCTGAGGGCTTTCAGTATATCAGCTTGGTTCATTGCTCACTTATTTTCTGCAGTAGCTTGGCCATCAAACCTATTGCAGTAAGACTTCAATTAACCGTCACTTGATTAACCATCAGTTTTTGTTATCCGTCATTGCCTAAAAAAATTAAAGAAAATTGCAGCATAAAGGATGCTATTTTCAATGTCGCCATTGCCTCTTCTGACGCTTTTGTATCTAACCTGAAGAAAAGGTGAAAAAACAAAAAAAAACTCTTGCCTGAACCTGTTGCAGGACAAACATACAGAAGGAGATGACAGATTATTTTAAAGTAACATAGGTTTTATAGTATAACAATACATTTTTGTATGTTTCTATTCCTATATTGAAGTTTAAATTGATCGTTTTGTCAAATTAAAAACAATAAGTATGTGTTATTTACTTTTTAAGGGCTGTATTTTCATTTTTATCCCAAGCCTGCAGAGAAATATGTTAACATACATATGAATTTAGAGATTTCTGTTATATGTCTTTTTGTGTATCCATCATAGGTCTGGCCTGGACGGTGATGGTTAATCAAAGTTTTACTGTAGCTTGTTTGTTTTCTTCTACACCTACATGTCCTGGCACAACAGTAAAACTGATTTTTGCTAGCGAAGACTTCCTTAGCAGTTAAGGAAATGCCATCAATAGCTAAAAATCTACTTTTGGGTGAATATTAGGGTTCATGTGTTATTGCAGAGTGTGTCTTCCTTTTGTATACAATGTTTATTTTATGTTTAAAAGTATGAAGATAGGAAAAATCTAGGAACATGGTTCAGTTTGTTCTTCAGTAAACCATATCATAATAATCCTACCGTGACACCCTGATTGTGCATGTGTGTGAGCGGAGAGAGAGGGAGGGAGGGAGAGAGAGAGAGGGAGAGAGAGAGAGAGAGAGAGAAAGAGAGAGAGAGAGAGAAATCTGTATAACACTTATTAAAATAATTTGTATTATTTTGTTTCTTCTGCAGTCACACTCTTATGATTGCTTGCATATCACCCTCAGACAGAGACTTCATGGAAACAATGAATACTTTAAAATATGCAAACCGTGCTCGCAACATACGAAACAATGTGATTGCTAATCAGGACAAAGCGAGTAAACAACTAGCTTTGTTGAAAGCTGAAATTATGTCACTGCAGGCAGAATTGATGGATTTTAAAACGGTAAGACTAAGAGGCAGTTTTCTCATTATAACCATCTATAAAATCTGTTTCTCTAAAACTCTAGGTGCATGGATATTGTAAGTGTTAGAATACTTGGCTGTCATTCAGAACACCGAAGTTCTATTCCTCATTGACGTGATGGACATTTTTCCGTTGTGGGCAAAAAAATAAAAAATACTAACCTACAAAGTTTATGGCCTCTGAACAATCACCCCTAAATCCTCAGACTTAACCTACACCCCACCCCTTCCTGCATCAGAAAGTGGTAAAATAAGGATGATTGTAAGTGCACAAAGTTTGATTCATAGTTTATTGCTTGTTTTTTCTTTTTTCTGGCTCTCTAAATTTGTTGGTTCCACTCTTGAGAAATGTGGACCATTGTACTTGAGCAAAACTCAAAAAATCCAAGTGGGCTTTAGGTTAACTATTTGAGTCCCAAGGGGTTTAGCATCAGATGCCCAAATGGTAGTCAAAAGAGATGTAAAATTGGCGCATCTTGCATTTATTGGGTCTCTAGGTAGAAACCTATTAACGTATGATGCGTTCCTTGGGACTCAAAGAGTTAACAAACCCTGGCACTTAACCAATGATTGGATAAAAGTTACCAGGCCTCTCTCTGGTTTAATTGAACCATTTCACCTTTGTTGTTGTTTGTTTGCGTTCGCTGGCTGTAAACGCTGGCAGAAAAACCTGGTTGCTTGTCAATTTCAGGACTTTGGCTTTGTTTCAGGACCTGAGTTTTGTGTGTGCATCCGTTTTACAGATTTTGCTTTTTTGTATTCAGGCTATTGGTATCTTGCCTCTTAGGCAGATGCACTCTGACTTTGAAGGAAGCTCCCAATTAATAGACTCTTACAACATGCCTGTTGGGGAGGCAGTGGGTCTATTCGTGTTTTCCCCACAATTGGACGCAGGAATCCACACAGGGAATTTCATTTTTGATATCATCAAACATATAAACTGGTTATGTATTGATTAGAACACACTCACCTCTCTGAGGATCCAATTGTTCTGCAGTTTTTTCCTGAGTTGTTCAAGAGCCCATAAAGGTTTCTGTATGACAGATGTACTGAGAGATGTGTGCCAAAAGCCATGTATTTGATTCTTCAAATGGAGAAGTGACAAAAGCAGCTTATAACTATAGTGAGAAGTACACAGTAGTTCACATGCCTCCACTTTGTCACCTCTAATATCTAAAAGTAAAGATCACCACTTGAATCAGTCCATGTGTTGACACTTTGTCACCTCTAATATCTAAAAGTAAAGATCACCACTTGAATCAGTCCATGTGTTGACACTTTGTCACCTCTAATATCTAAAAGTAAAGATCACCACTTGAATCAGTCCATGTGTTGACACTTTGTCACCTCTAATATCTAAAAGTAAAGATCACCACTTGAATCAGTCCATGTGTTGACACTTTGTCACCTCTAATATCTAAAAGTAAAGATCACCACTTGAATCAGTCCATGTGTTGACACTTTGTCACCTCTAATATCTAAAAGTAAAGATCACCACTTGAATCAGTCCATGTGTTGACACTTTGTCACCTCTAATATCTAAAAGTAAAGATCACCACTTGAATCAGTCCATGTGTTGAAACTTTGTCACCTCTAATATCTAAAAGTAAAGATCACCACTTGAATCAGTCCATGTGTTGACACTTTGTCACCTCTAATATCTAAAAGTAAAGATCACCACTTGAATTAGTCCATGTGTTGACACTTTGTCACCTCTAATATCTAAAAGTAAAGATCACCACTTGAATCAATCCATGTGTTGACACTTTGTCACCTCTAATATCTAAAAGTAAAGATCACCACTTGAATCGATCCATGTGTTGACACTTTGTCACCTCTAATATCTAAAAGTAAAGATCACCACTTGAATTAGTCCATTTTTCATGTGGACTTTGACTTTAGTGATTGCCTCTGGTGTCTGGGTAGTGAGATCGGACGCCCAAATGCACTGTTGCGCACTTTAAAAATTCCTTGGCAGTTGGAAATCAAAAAGAGTAGACTAATGGTGCTGCATGGGAAAAATCTGGAGGTGATGGACATTTTTCCGTTGTGGGCAAGAAAATAAAAAAGTAAAAGTATTTCAGGATCCTCACCGGTGCCATAGAGCATGTGCACTTTGCTGAGCTTCTTCAGACCCAGACTTGTGTTAGAAGAAGAACGGAGCACTAATGGGTTACTACCCGTGTGCCATGATGTTGATACATTGTTAAAACTTTGAGATCTCATGTGATTTGTTGTTGTTGCTTCCTACTAATTGTCAAGAGTTCACAGCCGTATGTTATAGTTGTAACTAGCAAGACATATTTGTCTAGCCAACATTAACAGGGCTGACTTTGACAAAGACTTATTGTATGAGATTTTCTTTTAATAAAATGTGATTTCTACCTGACCAGTTACATTCTTTTTTTCCACCTGATGCTTAGATTTTTGAATTTGTCTATGCTTGTTTTAAATAGTACCTTTAACTTAAATTACACGTTTAGACACATCCAATCTTTCATGTTCCTACTACATCTGACTTCTTGTTATTCAAGTTAAACCCCCGCTCCTCACCCCCCACATATCACAGTCACAATATATATCATTCTATGTAGTTTCTTATGCTGTCAAGACTTACTTATCAACATAATGTAAGTTGTTTATATCACTAACAGCATAGTGTAAGTTGTTTATATCGTTACCAGCATAATGTAAGTTGTTTATATCGTTATCAGCATAATGTAAGTTGTTTATATCGTTACCAGCATAATGTAAGTTGTTTATATCACTATCAGCATAATGTAAGTTGTTTATATCACTATCAGCATAATGTAAGTTGTTTATATCATGACTGTCTAGTCCAGCCCCTGGTATATTTCTCATAGATTTTTATATACAGACTGCCCATTGAAAACAAATTAGGACAGTTTGATTCTTGTACCGGATATTCTTTGTAATTCCCAATTGCCGAAGTATTTTTGATATGAATAAAGTACACAGATGACTTTCTGTTTTTTAAAACACCCTTGCCTCAAAAGACTGCTTCTGATCAACTAGTTAGTATACAACATAAGTTAGTTTGTGAACAATGTGTTCTCCAGCTTTTTTTAAAGCCAGAATTATGAAATTAGATATGGCCAGCATGTGTCAGTATAAAATAGGCAAAACTATAGGGTAAATATACAACACTAGTACCCATTTAAGACTGGGTCGACCTGGGAGCTAGGTCATTTGAAGAAAACAAATCCGGGTCCATCGAGAGTTGAACCCATGGCCTTCCTATCCACAGTCGAGCTTATGGCCGCTACACCATGGTGGCTCCCTTGAGTCTGTGTGTGTGTGGATGTGTGTGTGTATGTGTGTGTGTGTATGCAGACATGTAACCATGCATCCCTATGGTGGCATGCGTGTGTATGTGTGTGTGTATGGATGTGTGTGTTTGTATGGATGTGTGTGTGTGTGTATGGATGTGTGTGTGTGTGTATGGATGTGTGTGTGTGTGTGCAAAGATGTATATGTGCATTCCCATGTGTATGTTATGTGCATATATGTAATTGTACATGTATGTCTCTATATGTGTTGTGGTGTGTGTCACAAACCTCTGGTATGACCTTGCCGGTCCGTGGCTCGCTAACTAGGCCTATGACAGACAGACTAACCTACAACACACACTGAACCCGAACGCACACAGAGCACACACGACAATCTTTATTGGAAGTACAGGTAATACATAGACAGTTGACTTCCCGCCGTGTGGCCACCTATTGCCTGGACCCTCTGGCTGGACGGGCTTTACAATCGCCCCGTCCCCAGTACGTGCGACAGGCAATACTCTGGTGTACAAACCACAATCCGGCAGGATACGCTCTCTTCTATCGCCACGCTGACCCAATCAAACTGTCACAGTCTCTGTCTTAGTGCAGGGTCAGAGTGTCCAGGTTAGCCACTCTCTCACAGCACATATACATAAATACTCTACACAAGAACTATCCTATCCTAACACAAAACTGTACATAAACTATCCAGTCACTAACAGAAATATATCCTAACTTTAATACTATAACATAAACTATCCAGTCACTAACAGCTATATCCTAACTCTAATACTATAACACAACTGTCTTGCTAAACGTTCCTCTCTTCCTGACTGACGCACACCGAATGTCCTTCTTCCTCCTCCCTCGTGTCTCTTGACCCCGTTCACCAGCTCAGTCCCAGAAGCAGACATCGTGTTACTAAAACACAGTTCAAGCTTTCTTGCTTTATCCTGAGCGCTGGTTTCGCCGTGCGATCACAGAACGGACTCGACCAGTGACGGCCCTGACCTCTGTGTCAACCCTGGGTGCACACCTTACGGTGTGGTACACTGACTGTACTTAATAGGGTTGTGACATTCACCCTTCCTCTGAACTGATACTTCCTGACAAAGTCAAGTATCAGCAAAGCATGGCGTGCCATCATGTACAGTCATGTTTTTAAATTTTATCGTCAATATTTAGTTACCTAAAAAAAAAATATGTCATGTACTTTTGGGTCAATCACCTAAGGACAGACTATCTGGCACATATTTAATGGGTATATACATTCAATGGGTAAGCTCCTCCCTAATGGGTAGAAATGGTATCAGCCCTTGACACAAATACGTCACTACTCATTACACCTTCAAATCATATGGGTAATGATATAAATAATAATTTGGGTGGACACCCAAATCGTCCGGGACCCAATCACACCTTACTTCACTTACTGTGCAAGTAAGACGCCACTGTATACACTCCCAAGCCGTTTAACCAACGACACCGTGATTTATAACAGTGGGCGTCATGGACTATCTCCATAAGGCTTGTCCATGGTTGTGAAAAGGAGTCATGACCTGACTCCCCGACCTACAGTCGTATAATGTGTCCGCGAATCCGCAGTACCTGCCAAGACACAAATCACCCCATATGACCCACAGTGCAAAATAGGCAGTAAACAAATCTGTGGCCAGTTGGACACACTCCCATCCTCCAAGGATAGTGCTACTCCTCAAATGCAATCTCCATATATGCATTATTAGTTACAACATCATTAACTCTCCATGTGAGTGCCCTTGTAAAAGTACAATCTAACTCTCATTTAAACTGTCCATCATCAATTTTAGAAAGCAAAATAAACAATTTAAAGAGGAAAAAAAAAAATAAAAATAAGTTCATTTTACTGCCAAACTAAATTGTCAGTTATTTTAAAGTTTACTAGTTTACAAAACTATCTACTCATAATGCACTATTGCCTAATATATACTTTAACAATTACATTTAGTGCCCATACGACACTCAGTTAATATTAAACTCATTGAAACTTTTAATAAAAGTAATGGATTTCAAATTAAGTTTCAAATACTGAAGAATATTAATATTGCAATTTGAGAATTTTAAAACAAAAATGATTGCAAATCAAACAATTAACATTACTTATGTGATCTAGCCAAAAATCTTTAGCAAAGAAAAGAAAAGAAAATATATTTGTAAAATCCAAATGGATTGTCCCACAAATAATATTACACTATATTCCTTCCAACAAAACAATAAAATTTACAAATCAAAATAAATAAGCAAAATATACATAAAATAATTTTCAAACTCAAAATTATTTCCCTTTTATAAATACCACCTCAATAGTTACAAATCAAAATAATTAAGAAAAATAAATATCGATAAATTACTCATCATAGATACCAACACAATAATTACAAATCAAAATAAATAAGAAAAATAAATTTAGATAAATTACTCATCATAGATATCAACACAAAAGTTACAAATCAAAATAAATAAGAAAAATATACAAATAAAAATTGTGCAAAAATGATCATCACCTCTATCTTCCTGTTGGGTAATCTTTTACGATTGTTCAGTTCACTGGTTTTAGGCTAGAACAGTACTTGTATACACTGCTACTTGACAACTGGATCTATGAAACTTGGTGTAGAATTCCGTTATGAGACAATATATAGTCATTCAGGAAGGCATGAATATATGAAGACAATGTTTCACACAGTCTTTAATTTTCTGAAGGTACCAGACTGTCAGTTTCAGGATACAACTAGACAATCAATAGTTTTACAGCCGGCTTAATAGGTCAGCCAGGTTGTTGTTGTTGCCCTTGATATGTGTAGTTGTGACTTGGAAATCTTGCAGTGGTAGTGCCCATCTGGCGATTCGATTGTTCTTTGGGGCACCAGACTTAATGACGAGCAATGGCTGGTTGTCTGATTGTAGGACAAAAAGTCTGCCTAGGAGGTAATGATTGAGTCTTGTCACACAGACAATCACTGCCGTAACATAGTGTACCTGGGCTGGAGACAACCTACTGCTCACACAGCAGTTTGGGTGTAACATCTCGCCATCACACTGCATCAGACATACCGCAACTGCCGTACCACTGGTATGATATCTGAGAACAAATGGTAATATGATATTAGACAGATTTAAAATAGGGGAACTGGAGAAAAGAGTTTTGCTTTTGGTGAAAGTATGATCTAGTTCTCGGTTCCACTCAATTGTATTGGAATGCTCCCTTTTTAATGGTTTAGTGAAAAATACATTTTCCTGGATAATGTTCGGGGTAAATTGGTTGTAATGATTGATGAGGTCGAGTAAGCTTCGGATCTCCTTATTGGTAGTTGGGAAAATTTTGGGGAAATCCTCAAGATAAATTTGGCCTTTTGAGGGTTTTTCTGTAAATCCAAAATGTTGGGATCCTTGACCAATAGGTAATCTATGAGGCATCATTAATAAACATGTGCATATCAACAATATACATTGCAATATGAGAAATAATAAAGCATGTTTTATTTTGACCGGTTTGTTGACTATTAGCAGTAAATGCTGGTAAATGTGTGTAAATCTGCCTGGCACATCATATACATTATCAATTTCAGCTTTCTGTGTAGATGTTTCTGAAATTTGTTGGTTAGTCTTAGGTGTAAGGGTTTGTTTGGTTGCAGGTAAGTCTTGTAGGACAGACAAGAGAATATCTGTCGTATCAACAACATTAGAGTCAGGAATGACAGTTCTATTATGGAACTCTTCAACCACTAATTTGTCAGTTGGTTTAGAAGGGATTGGTAACAGTTCTTCCGAATAAACATTATCGGGGGAGATTTCAATTGTTTTATTTGTGTAGAAATTCTCTGAAAGGTTTGTTTGAGTTGATGTGTTGACAGTTAAAATATTTTTCATACATACACTTTCATTCACATCACTCTCTCTCACTGACTGCTGTCCAGTTACAACATTGCAAGTTATGTTGTCCCTCTGCCACTCGATTATCTCACTTTCAGAGACATCCTTTACATTTTTACAGTTGCCAAGGATAATATCAGCAACAGGGTCTGCTAGCACTGCAAATTTTGTTCTACCTGTGCAGTAGGCAGATTCGAGATTGGCCCATGCCAACTCATACTTTTCTTTCTTCCCTGAAAAGGTTCGACATACAATATATTCACCCGTCAAATCCATTATATCACTCTAGACTCCCCCCAAAACTTTTTAATTTTTTTTCCTTTAGGCCCCCTCGGCGCCCTTTTTTTTTCTAAATTTTTTAAAGTAATATCCCATACATGGGTTATTTACCCTTTTTCCTTTTAATTTTTCCCCTCTTACAAAAAATTTCACTTTGGATTTGGGGTTTTTTTTACCAGTCTTTTTAAAACATTAATATTCCCCCCTTTTTCCTTTAAAATTTTTTTTTTCCTTTTTTCTGGATTTCTTTTTTCCCCAAAGGTTTCTGGCTCCGTAGGGCCCGCACCCTTTTTAAAAAAAAAAGTTTCTGTGTGCCCCCTTGCACACCCCCTTTTTTTAGCTTTAAAATTTTATTTTTTTCAAACTTTCGCGGGCCGGAATTGACAACCCGCTTTACAAAAGTCTTTTTCAAATTTTGGGTATTTTTTTTCCCCCGTTCCCCCTTTGGAAATGGAAATTTGCTGAAAAAAATTTTTTCAGGGTTTGGTCAAATTTTTAAAGGTTTTCTTTAAAATTTTTAAAAAAAAATTTTAAAGCCCCAAAAATAAATTTTTCAATTTTTCAAAGGGGTTGTTTTTATTTTAAAATTTTCCCCCCCTTTTTTTTTTGGAAAGGTAACCCCCTTTAAAAATACCCTTTTACCCCTTAAAATTTTTTCCCTATAAACACCGGTTTTTTTTAGGGCCCGGTAACTTTTTTAAAATTTACCCCCTTTTCTCAGCCTTCGGATCCCCCTGGTTTAGTTTCTTTTTTTTGCCCCTTGTTCCATCACCCCTTTTTTTTTGGTTCTCTTTTCCTTTAAAACTCAAATCCTTCCCTGGGGGGGGGGGGGGGGGGGGGTTTTTTGGGGGGTTGGGGGGGGGGGGGGTGGGGTTTTTTTTGGGTTTGGGGGGGGGGGTTTTTTGGGTTTTTGGGGTTTTTTTTTGGGTTTTTTTTTTGGTTTTTGGGGGGGGGTTTTTTTTGGGTTTTTTTTTTTTTTGGGGGGGGGGGGGGGGGACTGTACTTAATAGGGTTGTGACAGTGTGTATACTGCATACCAGCCCCCTTCCCCAACCACTCTCACTAGGTACCAGAGTACCAAGCCACTAGTTTTAGTTCACTTAACATTTCTTAACCAACATAACTGGCACACAGAAACCATATCACAGTTATGACCATACTACTTGCAGTAGGTTGAATGTGGTTGATTTTTTTGTTTTGTTTTTCATAAACGGATGCATGGATATACCACTACCACCTTATGTGGCTTGCAAAGAGTACAATCAGTAAGGGAAAAGTTGGTAATTTTTTTAAGGACAAGAATATTTTGTTACCACAATTGACAACACTGAACATTGGGCATGCCTATGTGTACTCAGGCCTCCAGTGCAGAAACAACCCCAGAGTATCTCTACTGATTGTTCCCTTGAGAAGTTATGCACAAGAATGACCTAGTATGTGTGAGGTACAGATCAATAAGGCATTGTTTACTATGAGATTGTCTTTCTGCCTAATCTGTCTGTAACAGCATTGTTTTCTTACGGATATGAAACAAAATAAGAACAAAAGCCCAAAGATATGTTATGTTTCCAGGGCAAACAAACCATGGACACAGAGAGTGCAGAGTCTTTAAGTGACATGATTGTTGGGAACACCCTTCTGCAGTCAGAGAATGATCAACTGTGGTACCGTATCAAGGCATTACAAGACACAGTTGAAGCCATGAAAACGAGGAATTCACAGTTACTTGGAGATGCTGCCCTAATTTCTCTTGTAGGAAGTGATGGTAAGATTTGTTTGCACATTACTCTGAACTGGTAACTTGTATACACTTCAGAGTGAAGTGTTTGTGTTCACTCTCTGACCTCGAGGAGCACAAAACCTGGTGTTTAAGGTTTGGGCCATAGCCACATAAAGGCCAGTTTCCAGCTATAGAGGTTTGTTTACGAGGAGTCCTGCTAACAACAATACTCCAGGTTGTTTTTCCCTGAGCATCTTTTAAGAAAAACTGGTAAAGAGCATAGCTACAAAAAAATAACATTTAGGTGGCGTTATCTCGTGGAAATGTCTTAATTTATAGACCCACTGCCTCAACAACAAGCATGTCATAGGAGTCGGCTAATTAGGGGCAACCTTCAAAGTCAGAGTACATCTACCTGAGAGGCAAGGAACCAAGAGTCTGCATACAAATAACCTACATGGGTGAAACGGATGTGTGTGCAACACTTAGGTTCTAGAACAAGACTAAAGCCCAGAGGTGGACAAACAACCAGAATTGTTTGTCACAGTTAACAGCCTGTGAACAAGAAGAAGAAGAAGAAGAAGATAACATGTAAACGATTGTAAAGCAAAAACAAACAAAGCCAGCATAAAAGTGACCATGTCTCAGTGTGAACATGCGAGAAATAACACCATGTCCTCGGTTGACTTTCATCATATTTTAACAGTTACTTTACATATGTTTGTGTATTTCCACTTTATTTTTCAATAATTTTACAATTTAAATGAGAATATTTAAGTTCAGTCTAACAGGTGTCATCTCCACAATGGAGGTTTGTTGCAATACATCCACTTATGTTTTTTTATGAGAACCACCAAATGGCAGATGGCAACACATTAAATCGGGTACAGTTTTAGTGATCAAACGAGTATCTAGACTTTGATGTATGGAACTGCCATATTATACATTACTAGAGTCCCATGAGGTCTTTCTAAATACAAGTTACAACTGTACATTACTAAAACTGCAACAGATGACACTACCCAAGTTATTCGTTGGCCGCCTTTTTTGAATACGCTTAACAATGATGAGTAGTAATGAATGGTGATACGATGATAAGTAATGAACCGTGATGAACGTCTTTCTTGTCTCTCCCAATCAACAAAAGATTCAGTTGCTCAACAATAATATTAACACTCTGTCTTCAACAACGACATGCACTAGTGGGAACCTGCATGCAGGCCAAGAAACTCTGCTGTTTCAAATGAAGACCGGATTCATTCAATAATTCAATGCTGGAGTTCCTGTGTAAGCCAGACTGCACTTGGTGGTGAAGCAAAGAGCACTGCTCACATGATACCCAAAAGTTTGTATACCAACCCTTTAGTGCTGGTAAGCAAGCCGTTATCCAAACATTAATGTGAACATGGGTAACCACAACAAACTGGTGAAAAATAAGCCCCCGACGTAACTACATGTGAAGAAATACCTATTTCAGTCTTGTTGCCAAAAGACAATATAACTGCCAACAAATGCACTGTAACAGGTAACTGACTCAAGAGTTCTGGAACATCAGAAACATCACAACGGTACAATGTCTGTTGAGTCAGAACACTTACAGCTTAACACACACACAGCTTAACACACACACACAGCTTAACACACTCACAGCATAAAGCAACTGGGCCACAATAATGGCTAGCACTAGAAACTCAGTGGTCCTATCGGTAGGACTCGCTCGAACAAACTGCCCTCAGACGTGGTCTGAAGGTTAAGTTTTGTGTCCGAGACTTAACTCAGGTTACATGTTAATTAAGTCACATTCAGCGGTTCTCCAGTGATTTACCCATGATTGGTTTACTGATGCATGAACCTGATACATTTCTGCTAGACATATATACAAAATAAATAAACAACACACAACAAGGTTGGCCTAAACTGATCTCTAAAGTGTTCTTTCTTTCCTGCTTGTGTATACTCTGTGAGGCAGACCATAGTCCATGTCTTTAGATTATCATCCCACTTGTATCAGTGACTACCTCTTACTTGTTTGCATTTGACTTTTCCCTCCAGTATGGTGCTTACAAGAGTGTTATAATTCTCAGTTAGTAAATGTAAATGACACATTTTCCATGCTAGACTGGCAAACTGTAGGATGTTTATCTATCATCTTTTTTAAAGGTCATTCAAAGATGTGTTCAGTTTCATGTCAGTGCAGTGACCTCACTTCAGAGAACATTGTTATGTATTCTTTTGTGAGACTAGTTGAGCATACTACCATCCAAATCTGCAGCCAGTGTTTTTAAAGTGTGTAATCTTTAGTCAATGAAATTAACAGAAGATAAAGATGTTTTCAGCGAGTGTTTGTAAATGGATCCCTACAGGTCAAGCTTCAAGTGTGGATACCTCAAACCTAATACGGAAATACATTCAGGAAATTGAAGATCTGAGGTGAGTTTGTCTTGTGCTAAAATATGTTATGTCATCACAGTCACTGCACTTAGGCATTCTTATGCAGGCTCAGTCCTCAGATGCAGCAGCCACTCCAAAGTACTTCTACTAATTGTTCCCATGAGAGGTTGATTAAAAACATCCTCTCTCGGCCTTGAAAGCAGCATTGATTTGCCTCACCATGCTGTACTACCATGTCACCCAATCGTGTTAGTGTCCAATAGCCCAGTCCATACAGCGGTGATGATATCTGCTCTGTCCATGCTTCTTCCGACATACGTTAGTCCGCTTGCTCATTACCCTTTATGCCCGCATAACCAGGTGTATAGATCCTGGTGAGGGAGATTAAGTGCGATTTTCAAATGCTTTCTACCCATTCAGAGCGCATACGGCCTGTTGCTTTCTTCTGAAACATATTCATGGAGTCTGATACAATTACTATCTGTGTGGCGGTTTGCTCGGATACCCATGGTAGTGCTCTAGAAGCAGCGGCTATCTCCATGGTCAAGCTTGACGTGATTGTCTGGTAAGCGCCGCTGTCCTCCTGTATTGTTTCCCCCAGCCTTTGTGCTGTGTATGCCCATGCTGACCTTGATCCGCGCTTCACGGATCTAGCTGTGTAGATGATCATGTTTTCTGGTATGAATGCTGATCTGTCAGTGCCCTTACCTCTGTGTCTACGACTGTGAGAATCTGATCCCTGCAGTACAGTCCCGGTGTGATGACAACCTAAGAGATGTGATGATATTTGCTGGTGAATTTGTCCATTCTTTTCCGAGACTGATCTTGTCTAGGTCACATTCATGCTGGATTAAATCTTCAGCCTTGACCATCCAGCAGCGGCCTCTTTTGAGGTGCATTACTTTTGTGTTGTGTTTGTGCAGTGGGTGGTCTATGTGTTAGCTGAAGCAGATAATTCATCTGCACCGTTTGCTGCATTTATAAAAAAAAATCCTATACAAATTATCTGAAATCAGAATACTTTGCATTTATGCTGTGCATCTGCTAGAATTAATGAGTGTATTTTGTTTCCAATTATGTGCCTTGAACAGGTGAACTCACAGTCAAATATTTCAGCTACATAAATAAATTATTCTCACAGAACTTACCACCATTGCTCCTGCATACCATCAGAATGTTGATAAAAGCTGAGTCAACAAGTCACTTTGTCTTAGAGTTTCTTAAAACATTGTTCTTCTTCTTCTTCATCTCTCTATTATAGGGCATTAGTTGTGTTTTGTCTGACCGCAACATTCTTCTTCTTCTTCTTCAACTTTCTATTATAGGGCATTAGTTGTGTTTTGTCTGACCGCAACATTGTTCTTCTTCTTCTTCTTCATCTCTCTATTATAGGGCATTAGTTGTGTTTTGTCTGACCGCAACATTCTTCTTCTTCTTCTTCATCTTTCTATTATAGGGCATTAGTTGTGTTTTGTCTGACTGCAACATTGTTCTTCTTCTTCTTCATCTCTCTATTATAGGGCATTAGTTGTGTTTTGTCTGACCGCAACATTGTTCTTCTTCTTCTTCTTCATCTCTCTATTATAGGGCATTAGTTGTGTTTTCTCTGACCACATTATTGTTCTTCTTCTTCTTCATCTTTCTATTATAGGGCATTAGTTGTGTTTTGTCTGGCCGCAACATTGTTCTTCTTCTTCTTCTTCATCTCTCTATTATAGGGCATTAGTTGTGTTTTGTCTGACCGCAACATTCTTCTTCTTCTTCATCTTTCTATTATAGGGCATTAGTTGTGTTTTGTCTGACCGCAACATTGTTCTTCTTCTTCTTCATCTCTCTATTATAGGGCATTAGTTGTGTTTTGTCTGACCGCAACATTGTTCTTCTTCTTCTTCTTCATCTCTCTATTATAGGGCATTAGTTGTGTTTTCTCTGACCACATTATTGTTCTTCTTCTTCTTCATCTTTCTATTATAGGGCATTAGTTGTGTTTTGTCTGACCGCATTATTGTTCTTCTTCTTCTTCATCTCTCTATTATAGGGCATTAGTTGTGTTTTGTCTGACCGCAACAGAGCTGTAATATTTGTGCCTTTCAGTGAATGATCAGCTTTCTCCTGATACATATTGTCACATGTGCGCAAGGAAATGAGCAAGCTGATGGACTATGCCGGTATACAGAATGCTCTATAAGAAGTGAGACTTTTGCGAGAACCCAGTGATGTCTGTAAATGTGCAATCATGACCAGACTGAAAAAAACGGCCAGTTAAAAAGGTTGTGGCCAGACAAGAGCACTATGAAAAAAACGGCCAGTTAAAAAGGTTGTGGCCAGACAAGAGCACTATACAGGAAGCCAAAGAAGAATAAGAAATCAACACAGGACTAATGTCGTCAGCCATTACATGCTGTTCCTAGATTGTTGGTTTCTGAATATAATTAACAAGGGTGGCTTGTTGTCATGCAACTAACTGTGCCTTATGCAGTAATACATGTGCAGCTGCTGTTTTGCCATTAATAATAAACTAGCACCAGTGTGACTACTTTATGCATTTAATGTTGGCTTTGCCAGAACTGTTGTTTATTCAGCTGTTCACTTGGGACAGTGACCTGTATTTCTATGTTTTTCTCTAGCCCAGGAATGGAACATTTATGCACCTGTGACTAACTTAACTAATTTACTGTCTAGGTTCTGCATCCAATGTAGTTTTTATTTTTATTTTCACTGCTGTTTATGGCTTGAACTTTGTCACAAATGACATTAAGGGAAAACAGTGACAATGCCTGGGTATCCCTTGTTTTACAATTAACTTTGGTATAATACAGATCCTATAATTACTGCTGTTACTGTACACACTCGAAGAATGGAAACATGTTTCACATTCATTATGGCTGATTAACTTCACTTCTGTTCTGTATAACTGGCCTCCTGATCACCATAGGTTGTATTACTGACTGATTAAAAGCAGTCACAATTTGGGTTATGGTGATTTGACACACAAACTTTAGTTAAATATGTGACTTCAAGGGATCTTCTTTGGGATCAAGTTTCCTCTTTGGTTTTTTTTACGAGACCTTGTGTTCCATTGTTGTCTTATGTCTGTTGTTATTAAGGTCAGCTTATCTTCTCTTTTCTTTGGACCATTAACAGAACAAAAACAGTGCTTAAAAGAACTTGTGATCTGAATCTTTCATTTTGAATATCTGCTTCTTCTTCATGTTCACCGGCAGTAAACTCCAGCAGAAAGTTCTGGTTGTTTGTCTACTTCTGGACTTAAGTCTGGTTCCAGAACTTGAGTGTTGCATTCACATCTGTTTACATATTCAGCTTATTTATATGCAGACTGTTGGTACCTTGCCTCTCAGGCAGATGCACTTCGACTTTGAAGGAAGCCCTCAGTTAGTCGACTCTTACGTCATGCTTGCTGTGGAGGCAGTGGGTTTGTTCTTGTTTTCCACACAATGGGGCCCCAGAACCCACATGAGGGGGGGGGGGGGGGAGGGGGAGGTTGCAGGTTTTTTTTGTGTGTGTATCCGTACACCTGGTCATTTAAGAGATGGGGATTGTTATTTTTAAATAGTCTTCTTCTTCTTTCGTTCGCCTAATGGCGTGTGGCATCCACATTGCTGTGGTGCGCCTCCTGGCTGGGTGCCTCCGACTTCAGCACCTTGTTTTGCTAGGCTAGACTGTGATCATACACAGAGAGTAGGCTCATCCATTTGTCTTTTGCCTTTACCTTGTTTGTTGTCCCATCCAGTTTCCTGCTGGGGGTTGAGACCCCAACCTTAAACTGGATTGCTGGGAAGAACAGGGTCCACCACGTGAAGGTGAGGTAGGCTTGAGCAAGAGAGGCTAATAGACATTAAGAGTCTTGTATTGGGCATCATTGCTCCATTAAGACCCCATTTTAAATAGTAAAAAGATCCCTTTATGCCAATGACCGGCCATATGATGCTAGTCTTATATATTTTAGACTAACTGGGTGATTGGGTCAACATCACGTCAACTGCCTTTGCTTTTTAGACTTTGCCCGACACCCATATAAGGCTGGGTTGACCTGGGAGTCAAGGTCATATTTGAAAAGAAAATCTGGTCTGGCTCCAAGTGGGATTTTAACCACGAACTTCAGATCTGCAGCAGCTGCAGGCAGTCGTCTAGCTGCTACACTCATGGCTTTCAGGGATATCTGTATGTCTTGGGGTTCGGTGGCTCTCTCTTGGTAAATTTCTTGTTTGGTCTTTAGTAAGACAGTTTTTTTTTTGTTTTTTGTTTTTAAATGTTCAGCGATGTTCTTCTTTCTGATAATGCTTTTGTGCATTTCTTGAAATTACCGATTTTTTTTAACAATTTTACAAATTTAATATTTAGTTCATTGTTTTCTTGCTTTTTAAAAATTCATGAAGTTATATTAAAATATTATTTTAAAACAGTTTGAAGATTAAATCTTAGGGGGAGGGGGGAGTGTGGAGGGGACATGGATAGTAAAACACATTTATGTTATTAAAACACTTAAAGATCTTCTCTGTATTTTAATTATGAAAAATAATAATTGTGGTGTTTATTTTATTGCAATTAGGGCAAAATTAGCAGAGTCGCAGTCCTTGTGTCAGCACCTCACTGAAACATCTGTTTGGTGTTTGAGAAGTCCCTCCTCCAGACTGTCACTCAGTTCAGCATCAGTGTCTTCTTCTTTCACTGGAGAAATGAACACCTCAGCTTCACCGGATCCATTGGAGACTTCTGTCCTGCAGGAGGCTAAGAAAGAGATGAGGAGACTCAAAAGGCTTCAGAAACTCAGTCTGACCAGAGCTGGCAAGAGGTGGGAATTGACTTGTGCACTGTTTTCTACGAGGTTTTTTCCTTGAAAATGTTGTGAACGTAACTAATATTATTCAACAGCTAGTACCAGCAATAATCATTTAAAAAAATAGATAAGATGGCCATATGTTGGACCCATCCTGAAAAGAAACAAGCAGAGAATCACCAAACAGGCACTAGAATGGGAAATAGACAGATTCTGGAAACAAGGACATCCAAAAGAAACCAGAAAGCAAGCGTTGATGAGAGAGGCCAGAGTTGCTGGACTTGATTTTATCCATGGTATAGAAGTGGCAGATTAGACTGTGATCCCTTTGTGACATATATTATCAAAATGGGACTGTTGTATGTGAAATTTACTGTGATTGTAAAGAGTTAATGAAGCCAATGCTTTGTGAACGTGGGCTCACAACAGATACATCTGTTGGTTGACGTTTGGGAATGTAAACATGTATGCCACTTGCAGCGGGGGAAACAGAGGGTACTCCATATACACGGATGACGGAAAACTCCCCATGTTGTGTGGGGAATGTGTGATCCATGTGGGTTGATAGCATGAGGGTCGTGAATTCTGAGTGTTGGTGAGAAAATGGGATCTACATGTGGCTGACTGGTGTGTGAAAAGTCCTGTGGTAGTTTCAGTCAGTACCTGTCAGGTAGTCTTAGTGTAAAGACGTGTTTGTGCATGAGTTGTTCCAGTCCGATGTGTTTTAACAAGATGGTTTTATTCTGCTGGAACTCATGTGAATTGTCTAATGGGTTTGGTGGATCCTGAGATAGACAGGAATTCTGTCTGTAATGTCCAGAATGGACAGTTGTACAGCCCATCTGTTTGTGAAGTCCGCAGTGTTGCAGCTATTGAATGTATAGTTGATAAAGGGATCTCTAAGGGCACAGACGGTGCCGGGAACCTTGGTGCTGACTGGACAGTTAGCACAAACACACTCAGTTTTGGATGGTGCCTTGGAAACTAACGTGGTGGATTGTGATGTGAGGAAAGTATCAAAGGCTGACTGACAGAATAGTAGTTAGCGATGCTTCAGTGACTAGGTAGCAGACTGCGGTCTGAATTTTTTAATACTCAATTTTTCACCGTATGGTGCATTTACCTTAAACCCTCAGATTGATGGGTCCATTGGAGAGACAGCCATTATGGGGTGGTGTGGCGTGCTTAGGCGCTTCATGCTGATGTGTGTCGTACCAAGATGAAATAGGCCAAGTAGGGGTCGCAGTCCGACCTTGAGATCCAGACAATCATCTTTGTATTCAGTTCAGCCGTCTGAATTAAATAATGAAGGTATACCGGCTTACTGCCGAAATGTAACATTCACCAGCTTCCTGCTGAGGTCTATCTTGGAGTCCCGGGGTAAAGCGTCCTCAAGGATCCAACTTTATATAACGTTTGCTTCCGTGGAATCCCGGGGTAAAGCGTCCTCAAGGATCCACACGTCCGTCTCCTTCGGACTATAAACATCAACTGCAAAGTATACCGGCTTACTGCCGAAATGTGGCATCCCGGGGTAAAGCGTCCTCAAGGATCCACACGTCCGTCTCCTTCGGACTATAAACATCAACTGCAAATTATACCGGCTTACTGCCGAACTGTGGCATCCCGGGGTAAAACGTCCTCAAGGATCCACCGTGGCATCCCGGAGTAAAGCATCCTCAAGGATCCACACCAAGGCCAGACCCAAACGTCCGCCTTGGTCAAACTTCGACTTTCATCTCCTAGAATACAATTCCTTCACAACGTTACGTATTGTTTTGACGTCTTATTTTCTCACTCAGTACTGGTGCGTTCTGGTGCACATCCGCACGCGACAGGTGGTCACTGTACATCACAAGGAGTATCTATGAGGTTGGGTTTCAGTTGCCTGTCCCAGTTTTGAAAGTAGTCCTGATCCGGGATTCCACCCACAACTTGCAGATCAGCAGGCAAGCGTCTAGCTGCTCCACCATGGTGGTTCCCTACTGAGAAATAACACACTTTTAATCACAATACTGAAGTGGAAAAAATGAAGGCAAGAGGTAGACAGTGAAAGAAGTGGGAAGATAACATCAGGAGGTTGATAAACAGCAGTTTCAGAGAGTCTGTAACTAGGATGAGAGACAATGTATGTTTGAGATCCATTGCGGCCTCATCTTTATGGAGTTTGCACCTGATTGATGGAAGTTTGCCCCAGACACCCAAGTTATATCATCTGAAGCTTTGACTTCATGTAATATATTGTCAGCTGCTGCTATGGTGATGTAGAAGAATTGTGTGTGTGTTGTTATGTAACTAGTAAAAGGTATGCTGATTTTGTGTGTGTGTGTTGTTATGTAACTAGTAAAACGTATGCTGATTTTTGTGTGTGTGTGTTGTTATGTAACTAGTAAAAGGTATGCTGATTTTGTGTGTGTGTTGTTATGTAACTAGTAAAAGGTATGCTGATTTTGTGTGTGTGTGTTGTTATGTAACTAGTAAAAGGTATGCTGATTTTGTGTGTGTGTTGTTATGTAACTAGTAAAAGGTATGCTGATTTTTTGTGTGTGTGTTGTTATGTAACTAGTAAAAGGTATGCTGATTTTTTGTGTGTGTGTTGTTATGTAACTAGTAAAAGGTATGCTGATTTTTTAATTTTTTTTATTACATAGAAGTCAGAGCAAGCTGTGTGTCAGTCCTGGTGTCAGTGGCAGTGAGGAAGTCTCTTGCCAGGATAAACTTGATGTTGACAGAAGTTGGGTATGTATATATTATCCAGCTTTGCTTAGTTCTTTGTAAAGATTGAACAGCCTTAAAAGTCTATGGTTAAGCACCAGCAAGGAGATCAAAATTAGAATTTTGAGAGCATGCATTTTCCCTGTAGCAACATACGGATGTGAGTCGTGGACTGTCTCCCAGTCCTTAATAAAGAAGACAGGGGTTTTTGAGCTGAAATGCTATAAAAAAGATTCTCAGAATATCTTGGACACAGAAGAGGAGAAATACTGACATTTTGAAAGATCTTAACATCAAGAAAGATTGGCTAATAAACAGCATCCTGTCTCAGAAGCTGAAATATTTTGGTCATATCAAGCGCCACGATGGACTGGAACAAATTATAGCAGAAGGCATGGTACCAGGAAGGAGGGGCATGGGGCCGACCAACACGAAGATGGGCACAGGATATAAGTGACTCCTTGAGTGTGAAAGTGCATCAGGCGGGAGAACTGGCGAGAGACCGAGTTTCTTTCAGGCAGACCGTGATGAGAGCATTGTTCTGCAAAGGACCTGCTACATGATGATGATGATGATGTTAAGTTAGAAGTCCACAACTGAGTGTGTTTGTGCTAACTGTCTAGTCCACAATTTAGTGTGTTTGTGCTAAGTGCCCATCTCTTTAGACCATGCATAATATAAGGCTGTCAGTAATTATTTCTTCCTGTTTCTCTTTTCTATAAATCTTTCCAGTTATTACAGTATAATACTGTTTTTCTTTTACTTTGTACTGTCTACTTCTGACAGTGTCATAAAATTGTCAGAGTGTCTTAATCTGTTTTCAAAAGATTTATATTACTGCTCTAAGATATTTTCCCAGCTTTTCTGGAAAACAAAATTTTTGGGTGACTTCTAGGAATTTATACTTGTACATAAACTGATCACTCATCACAAACCGTTAGTCAAAAAAAAAAAGTAAACGTCCTTTTCCACGCCTTTATGCTTATTGGGTATATAGGGCTAGACCTTTGTTTTTATAGACATTGGCGCTCGATGGATGATGTGGTCAGCATCATACCGGTCGCCTTTACTTCCCAGGATTGCACTCAAGGCTGGGTTGACCTGGAAGTCAAGGTCATTTCTGAAAAAAAGTTCAACTCTGTCAGGATCTGAATCCACAACCTTCCGATCTGGAGGCGGGTGTCTAGAATGGCTAACATGCCTACTGCTGGTCTCAAGGAAATCAGTTATTGTGTTGTAATTTTTAGTTTTTGACTCTGCCAGTATTTGTTTCTTTGGTCAGCAAAGAGGAGTTGTTCCTTTCTTATAATGCATATTTTTGTTTTGTTTATTGCAGGGTGACTTTGAAGATGAAGAGGTTTTTGATGATGAAGGTGAAGCTTCAGAAGCCTCTTTAGACTCTGAAGAGAAAGGTCAGCTGTTTACAGTCATTTAAATTATGTTGTTAAGAAAATAGGACAGAATATCTTTCTTGGTCTTCCTCTCTCCTTCCACCCAGATGCTCCGCTGTAGAAAGTCTCATCCGCAGTTTGATCTGGCTGCATTCTTTCTAAATGATCAAACCCATTGTGCCTTTTAGGTTAATTCCAGCAGTGAGTAGCATCATATGAATCTAACATTTTTACTTTTCAGAAATTTTAAGCATAATGTTAGCCTGCTGTTTATCTCCTGTCTGTGTTTAGTCCACAAATTCCCTGACAGAATTCATGTATTTATACAGTGATCGTCAATACTATTTACCCATCCTAGTACACCTAACAGTTTCTCTCAGTTTGGCAACCAAGACCTGCTGTCATTTTCTGTTCCTACCTTTCTTTTCCTTTCTCTGTTCTCTGATCTGTGATCTGTTCTCTTACTCTCAACACTCTCTCTCTCTCTCTCTCTCTCTCTCTCTTTGTTTTGACACTTACCGTACTTAAACTTTGCTGAAAGCCTGCTCAAGGACTTGTGGCGCCACCATGAAGGTATCAGTTCTTCATCATATTGTGCTTCAGTCTTGCTAGGTTACGTAACTTTACTACTGAGTCAATGTGGATTTTTTTTCATAATTTGTAATGACATTTGTACATTATTTTAAAATTATTGCAAAAGTTAAATTTCCTTAAATGTCTATTTTAAACTGTTGCTAGTTAAATTCTTCATGTTGCAGTGGGGTTTTTCTGTTAAAACATGTGGACACTTTAAAAAAGGGGGATTATTACCTATCACCTCACAGTAAGTTGTATGTATCATATGACAAGTCTAATTATGAAGAGTAAAAAGTAAGATTAAACCATAAATTAGAAATGACTACTATGAATGTGTGGAGGGAAAGGGCACAAACAGTGCCGGTACAGTCCATGGCACTACTAGAAACAGCATTAGGGTTCTTTTTTTTTTTTTTTTCTTTTTTTTTTTTTAAATTAACATAACTAACATTTTTCAGATTCAGACAACATTCATGATGATTTGGCTAACCTGACCTGTGAGATCAATATCAAGCAAAGATTGATAGAGGAATTAGAGCTGGCACAGATAAAGATGAGTGCCTTGAGAACACATTATGAGAACAGAGTGCAGCAACTGCAGTTAAAAATCAAAGAAACAGAAATGGAAAGAGACAGAGTCTTATCTGATATTGGTAAGTGTGTCATGTAAGTTGATGTGTTGGAAACAGTTCTCCAAAACATGTTTTTTTCTGTTTTTCTGTGTACCTTTTTCACAGTGGAATGATTGGCACTATAAAATAATTATTTCGCTATCAAAATAGTAATAGACTTTTATGGCAGAGTATTTACAAACCCTGGCCAGTATGTCATTAACTATCTTTATATCCTGGCTGTAAAGTTAGAAATGTGTCCTTGCTTTAGGTTTCCAGTTATCATTGTAGTCTTTTCCAAATATTTTTTTGGGGGGTGGGGGTGCCTGACTCAGTAAATCTGATATGATAAATAAATTCACAGGTTTTGATCAGCACTCACAGAAGTAAAGAAAAAAGTAGAGATTTAATTACATAGGCAGTACAAATGTTAAATGATATAGTGACTGGAAAGATCAAGAGTAGAAGAGGCAGAGGCAAACCAAGAGAGATGATGCTTGATCGCAAGAAGCAATGGCATGGGGGGAATATCATCAGTGGAATTGATTCAGAACACCAGAAACTGTGATCTGTGTAGAGACATATGCACCTAGGTTGCTTGGCAGGGCACATGATGGTGATTATTACAGCCAGATTCAGATGTTTCACTTCCAAATGATGAAAGCACCTGGCTAAACAAAAAGTGCAATTCAGCACATGGTCAACTACACACACCTAAATAAAATCTGTTTATTAGCCAGATCTGTATCCACATTACCTTAAATCAGTGAATTATACATACAATTCACATCTAGCCAATGAAAAACCACAATATGTTTCAGAATTTCAGATTAACTTTACATAGGTAAATTAACAAAACAATTTAAAAAAACAGAAAAAAACAATGGACCATAATGTGCGGTCTAGAATATTATTAACACTTCAAAGATAAACATGACTGGCTGTACACAATTATTGCAATTGTTGGGGAACTCTTGATGCTGGCTGAAATGGTATGAGAAATCCATGAACTGTTAATGACTGACACTACGACACCTGTTTCCATTCAGCCTCCAGAGATTTGAATTAAGATGTTACCACTATCATAATGCTCCTCTTATTTGTCAGCTAAGTCTTTTACAAGTGTTTATATTTGCTGGTAATAAATTTTCTAATAATTTTTAAAATGCTTACTGTTTACCTGATTCTTACCTTTCTGTCTGCATGTATAGTAGTGATGCAAACTTATTTGTTCATTTATTAAAATAAATTTGCTTATCACTCACATAAAAATACAATTTGCTGACATTAGCATGTATCAAAGTGCTTCTCCTTTTTGCATTATAAATGTTTTGTCATTTGGACCCACTGAAAGCAAATTACTAACAGTTTGTGGGACATAATAATGAAAGAGTATGCTAGCAGCATTTTGATGAAGATTACATCTTGCAACTTCTTTAACATTTTCTCTTCCTAAACCCCCTTAGAAAAGATGAGCCATTCCCCTGTAGACACAACAAGGAAAGTGAAACAAGAATTTGATAAAAGATTGACTTCACTTCAAGTAGAACTGAAGAAGATGCAAAGTGAGCAGAAGAGACACACTAAGATGCAAAGGAGCAGTTTACAGTATGAGCAACATCTGAGGACTCTCCAGCACGAGTTGTCTGACATGAAGAAGTCCAAGGTAATTTGAATAATTCTGTCTTTGACCTGAACATTCTTTGGTAGCAGCAATTTCTCAAAGTACTTTGGCTCTCTAGTTGCTAATAACTAAGCTACCTTAATTTGTTACAACTATTTGTAATGCTTTCTGGAGTTTTTTGTCTTTTTAACAAACAAAAAACATAGTATATATATAGGATCTTCTCATTCTTCAGAATTCTGAGCTCTTGAAGTTCATCACTACATAAATTACCCAGCGGCATTCATCTCTCTGAGTGGCCTTCTCTTTAAAGTTGGTGACTCCAAGTGTGTATAGTTCTGCTTGTATATTATCTCCTTGGTCATCCTCATGGTCTACTCCCATTCAACATATATCAAACATTCCTGGAGAATGTCCATTATTTTAAAAATTGTTTGAACAATTTTCTTATTTTCAATGCGTTTTCTTCAAAAATAATTCCTGTTGGTAATTAAAGACTATGGTCAGTTTTCATGCAGCTGTTGAAAATACTCCAGGAACCTATACTTGAAATATGTCAATCACATATTGGTAATTCATCTCGATGTCTAACTACCTTTTTCCTACTCCTGTGGAAACAAGTACAGCTACTTTCATTTTATTGTGCGAGCCACTTCTTGCTGTTTTTTTTTTTTATTATCCAGGAGTGTGTGAGAGACCAAAATTGCTAAAATATTAGTCCAATTTTTCACGTGGGTGTACAGTGTTAAGATTCTAACCCACACACTCACTATATAAGTGTAAATCCACATGTGGTGGTGACAATGTTCATAGAGTCTAGCTACCTTCTGATTGGTAGTTTCTGTACCTGTCACCTTGGTACAAGGTTAAGGGGGTGTTCCGCAATGCTGTTGATATCGCTTGTTGTATATTTCAGCATGCCAGCGCTTTTAACACTCCAAAAACATGGAGAAACTGGCCCTAACACAAACTCCTTAGAGAGTCCTGCAACCTATGCCACAGGCATTCTCTTTCTCGGGAGGAAAATGTAAATGCAAGACAACACAAAAAGTGAACAACAGAGCAGGACACACCCATAACCTTCAGGAAAGTCAATCAGCCCAACAAACTTGTAAAAGAAAAGTGACCTACTCTATTAGGGGAGATTAACGTTACTTTAACCCAAATCTGGTTCTGACCAGTGTCACTAAAAGGTGTGAAAAGCTTGCCAGTTGGTACCATCATGTCTGGATGACTTAACTTTCTCGGGTCATAAACAGAGTCACATCTTTATTTCCCCTACAGTCTGCCAAATGTTCTGATAATTACTTGTATCATCAGTTACCTGCCCCTATGATCCTGGCTAGGAGATAAGTATCTGACTCCTCATTGTCACAAACAAAACCTCTAGCCACTATGTATAAGCTAGGTCCGTGTTATCTGGACTATTAACACGTGACTCCTGGACAAGAGTCTGGGTGTTAGACTTCAACTGTAGTCTAGGAGAAATTAATTTGGCTTTGTTCTGGATGACCTTGATTTAGGTTACAGACTAGGAGCATATTTTTCCTCTCTAACTCAAAATACACAGGCAAAAATTAGGTTGTGGAAAAACATGTTCTGAAGTTACCAGGTATGTCGTCACAAACATGCTTCAGAAAATCGCTACAGGTGGCCTACGCTTTGAATGAGTCAAAATCATTCAGAAGTCACAGTTAAGCTCCATCATCTGGATCTACATACATGGGCATGGAGGCGTAAATGGTAACGAAAGAGTTGACCAGCTGGCAAGAAAGGCACCAATGCAAACAGGAAGAAGCATAGACAAGAGCTAACATCATCCGCGCTGTACGGAGTAGATTAGGGGATAATGGCGAATATCTGATGTTTACACGACTGCGTGACCACTTTACAGGCTTGGGTGGGTTCAGGAGAAATAGAATAGACTCACAGCTCCACTTAACAGGCTTGGGTGGGTTCAGGGGAAATAGAATAGACTCCACTTAACAGGCTTGGGTGGGTTCAGGGGAAATAGAATAGACTCCACTTAACAGGCATGGTTGGGTTCAGAGGAAATAGAATAGACTCACAGCTCCACTTAACAGGCTTGGGTGGGTTCAGGGGAAATAGAATAGACTCTACTTAACAGGCATGGGTGGGTTCAGGGGAAATAGAATAGACTCCACTTAACAGGCTTGGGTGGGTTCAGAGGAAATAGACTCACAGCTCCACTTAACAGGCTAGGGTGGGTTCAGAGGAAATAGACTCACAGCTCCACTTAACAGGCTTAGGTGGGTTCAGAGGAAATAGACTCACAGCTCCACTTAACAGGCTTGGGTGGGTTCAGAGGAAATAGACTCACAGCTCCACTTAACAGGCTTGGGTGGGTTCAGAGGAAATAGACTCAGAGCTCCACTTAACAGGCTTGGGTGGGTTCAGAGGAAATAGACTCACAGCTCCACTTAACAGGCTTGGGTGGGTTCAGGGGAAATAGACTCACAGCTCCACTTAACAGGCTTGGGTGGGTTCAGGGGAAATAGACTCACAGCTCCACTTAACAGGCTGGGGTGGGTTCAGGGGAAATAGACTCACAGCTCCACTTAACAGGCTTGGGTGGGTTCAGGGGAAATAGAATAGACTCACAGCTCCACTTAACAGGCTGGGGTGGGTTCAGAGGAAATAGAATAGACTCACAGCTCCACTTAACAGGCTTGGGTGGGTTCAGGGGAAATAGAATAGACTCACAGCTCCACTTAACAGGCATGACATGAAAGCTGACTAATTATGAGTTTGCTGAAATTGGATGTGTAGGGTTAAGAGGGGCAGATATTGCAGCCTTGCTGCAAACCACAATACAATGTGTCAACCACCTTTTTAACTATGAATGTAGAAGAAGAAACACTTCAGTGGCGCCTATCACTGGGATTACTAACATTCAGGCTGCAGCCATCTGGTCATGTTCACCAGATTAAATACATAGCAAAACCTAATTTTTGATGCAATGCTTATCACTACATGGCTTTAACAGCTACAATAGCTATATCTTAATACTGAGGTCATTTCTGTCTCTTAGTCTCTTTCCTTGTCATGCCTCATTCTACCAGTTATGGCCTGACTAGTTATCTCCGCCCCTTTCTCTTGCTTGGCTGTTCCAGAGGCTTAACAATGCATAAAGACATCTTGAGTGTTTCTGTATCTTAATGTTTCTGATCTCTAGTTAAATCTTTGAGTTGAGTCGTTGATAATTCTAGTGAAACCTTTGAGTTGAGGCGTTGATAATTCTAGTGAAACCTCTGAGTTAAGGTGTTGATAATTCTAGTGAAACCTTTGAGTAAAGGTGTTGATAATTCTAGTGAAACCTTTGAGTTAAGGCATTGATAATTCTAGTGAAACCTTTGAGTTAAGGCGTTGATTATTCTATTGAAACCTTTGAGTTAAGGCACTGATAATTATAGGGAAACCTTTGAGTTAAGGCATTGATAACTCTACTGAAATCTTTAAGTTGAGGCGTTTATAATTCTAGTGAAACCTTTAAGTTAAGGCGTTGATAATTCTAGTGAAACCTTTAAGTTGAGGCGTTTATAATTCTAGTGAAACCTTTAAGTTGAGGCGTTGATAATTCTAGTGAAACCTTTAAGTTAAGGCGTTGGTAATTCTAGTGAAACCTTTGAGTTAAGGCATTGATAATTCTAGTGAAACCTTTAAGTTGAGGCGTTGATAATTCTAGTGAAACCTTTAAGTTGAGGCATTGATAATTCTAGTGAAACCTTTGAGTTAAGGCATTGATAATTCTAGTGAAACCTTTGAGTTGAGGTGTTGATAATTCTAGTGAAACCTTTGAGTTAAGGCATTGATAATTCTAGTGAAACCTTTGAGTTAAGGCATTGATAATTCTAGGGAAACCTTTGAGTAAAGGCGTTGATAATTCTAGTGAAACCTTTGAGTATAGGCGTTTGCTATTATTAGTTAGCACAAAATATGTCCATAAACAAATTTCTATACCATTGTCTTCAGGTGTGATACCACTAAAGTCTAACTTTCTTTCTCAGGTCAGACTGATAAAACAAGTTAAAGAGGAGGTAGATAAAAACAAAAGATGTGAAAATAGGTGTAGCAGAGAGCTTAACCAACTGCGGAAGGAGCATGTGAGAATGGATCAGATTATTCAGACACTGGAGAGACAAACAGCCCAGAAAGATGCAGTGCTGAAACGAAAGCAGGAAGAGGTAAGGAAACATCTGTAAGAATTCAAAGATGATCACTGTTATACATGAGGCTAGGAAAAAATTAAAAGTCTCTAGTGAAGTGGTTTTCAACCTGTTGGTACCCCTGTGTGGGTTCCGGGGCCCCATTGTGGGGAAAACAAGAATAGACCCACTGCCTCCCCAAAAGCATGTTGTAAGAGTCAACTAATTGGGGAGCTTCCTTTGAAGACGGAGTGCGTCTGCCGGAGAGGCAAGGAACCAACAGTCTGTATTCAAGAGAATGAGATCTGTAAAACTGATGCACACGCAACACTCAGGTTCTGGAGCAGGACTGCAGTTCAGTAGTAGATGAGCAACCAGAACCTTCCGCCAGAGTTTACAGCTGGTGAACGCGAAGAAGAAGAAGAAGAACCTGTTGGTCATGACCCATTTGTGGGTCGAAAGATCCTTTTCACACTAGCAATGAAAATAACTAAATGGTTGGGGGTCACCACAACATGAGGAAGGTTGATAACCACTGCTCTAGTGTAATCTGTGTGCACATTAGTGTTTGCTTTTTTATAAGGGCTGTCTGGTTTGTTATGCATGGAAATACACCTGTTCTTTCAGTGAAACAATGACATGATTGGGAGTACATTCATTTTCAGTATTCCTAGACAAAAGTTCTTATCATCTAAGTTAGAATGTAACAGATATTTCTTTCTTTACTTCTATGAGGTGAGTTGTTGTGTTCTCAACTTGAGAACTACTAACAAAGCTCTAGAGGCATACCCACAAGCACTGCATAGCCATCTTCAGCAGCCAGCAAAGAGTTTCAGTACTGTTCCAAATGCAGTCTGATTACATGCTCATCTGGCCTTTCCCCTGAGCACTGAGTGTTGATCAGATTCCCTGGTCATTCTCTCTTGATCTGTTAACTTCTCCAGGTAGTTTGGACACTCTAGAGGGCCTTTATTTTGTCTGTAGAGGCCGATCAGTACCTGTGAATTTATTTTTCCAGCTAGGGTAATCTTATTTTATGATGAAACCATTTGACGCGGTCTCTCCCAATAAAATCCATGGTTGATATTCATACATTTAACCCTTTGGAGATGACTCGGTTCATCTGTTGGCCAAACAGCAAAGTGGCCAAAAAGATGGCTGGGTTAGCCCGATAATACAAGCTTTGGGATTGGCTGGCAGGTTTTGTACCAGCCAGTCAGATTGCTTCTCACATTTTCTGCACATATGATTTTTTCAGTAGTGGCTATCATGAAAGTCTGTTGTGCTGTGATTTTACATCAATTGTGTGTGTGTGTGTGTGTGTGTGTGTGGATTTACAATGGTAAAAAGATTTGTTATGTCATAGCAATCTAATTATAGCAGGAGGCAGGAAAAGGAGTAGAACCATGTGCCAGAAGTGTCTGGACGGCCTACATGGGCCTTGCTTCCCACAACACAAGCGTTAGGACCTAACTCAGGCTTCATTCAGCAGAAAATGTAGTCAAACTGTTTAGTCATGTCTGTCCTATGTAACATAACACAAAATTATAAGTAAATATGCAAATTCAATAGCTAATCTGAATAAATGTTGAAATGTCGATGTGATTCATAATGATTTTGTTATTAATTCAATTCACTACAAGAATATGTATAGTTTTGTATATTTTACTAAAGCACTTTATTTTTTATAATTCTTTTTATATGTAAATTGAGGGAATCCCCTCTTGAAGGCTTCATCTTCTTGGCACTGAAACTCTAAATAAAGCTACGTCTACAAAGAGTTAATATTTCCTGCTGTCACCTTTGATCTTGTTTCTTCTTATCACACCAAATTCTCTTCAGATTCATGTCACTTCTGTTATTAAACATCTGCTTGCATTTCTTGCAATTTTTTTTTTTACAATGCCAACAAAATTAGAAGATTGTTTTTACTTTTTTCTCCCTTTGTGGCCAGGAGAACAGAGGTCCTCAGTGAGCCATGCCAGGCAATCATAGCATTTGTTGCCCACAGCAATTTGTTTCTCCTTCTTCTTCTTCTTCTCTAAGTCACTGGCTGTAAACTCCGGCAGAAAGTTCTGGTTTTTTGTCCAGCTCTGAACTTTAGTCTTGTTCCAGAACCTGAGTGTTGCTTGCACATCCGTTTAACAGATCTGACTTAATTGTATGCCTGCCGCTTGTTGGTTCCTTGCCTCTCAGGCAGATGCACTCTGACTTTGAATGAAGCCAGACAATTAGTTGACTCTTAGGACATGCTTGTTGTGAAGGCAATGGGTCTATTCTTGTTTTCCCTACAATGGGGCCCCAGAACCCACATGGCAACTTATTCTCTGTCCTACCATATTATTTGTCTCTGACTAGCTTTTCTGTGTATATGTAGGTCGGGGCCCCGTTAGCCCAGTCGATAGGAGACTCACTTTCAAATCCAGCTGCGACTCGCTGCAGCCCATGGCCGGTGTTTGAAACCGGGCAGTTCCCGAGGTTCACCCAGCCTCTACGTAATGGGTACCAGAGCTAACACTCTGAGGTAAATGGAGAAACGTCGCCGTAGCTACGGAGTTGCGTGTGGAACACAACACAGGCGGACAGTTTCTTATCAGCTGTCCGTACTGTTGGCAGAGCACTTATGGTTTATAACCATGTGCAATGACGCTGGTTCACATCTCCCAATTTTTACCTTTTTATGAAGGTCTTTCTTAATCTCTTTTGCGCTTTTGATTCTAGTGCATACATTTTCTAGTTATATTATCATGTTTATTCAAAAAATGCTCTATCCAGGACCAGTATCTTTTGATTCACTAGACCAGTGGTCAGCAAACACATTAGTTGAAAGAGCCAAAAATCAGCAGAAGGACAATTAAAAAATTTTTGGGACTAAATTTTGTTTGAGAACCTGTGAAGAACCATGTTTTATGGAGTCAAAACCGATTTGTGGCCGACTGGTATATAGATTTCCATGACTGTAAAAAGTTTTTATATTTCATGAGTTTGAATTTCATTTCACTTATCAGCAGATAGTGTCTAGGTTTCTCTAGCAACTCTCCTAAAGTATTTTGCTTCTAGTTGTTAGTTTCTGAAGGTTTTGTCTTGTGACAGTTATCTGTAATTTATGTAAGTGTTAAGACTAGTTTATAGATTGTGCTTTACACAGTCATCTTAGTAAATCTGGGTATTTCTTATACTGGTTGAGAAACAAGTGCATCTCACATTCACTTTCAAGAGTGCAGTGGGACAATAGGTCTAAAGTATCAGCACTGTTGTTTACATTAATATGATCTTTTCATTTTGTTTCTTTTGTAAAGTATGCCTGTTATATATTTTTTTTTCATTGATAAAGACTTGATGAAAACATTTCTTGTCGGTGTATGTTTTATTTGACTGAGCTTGCTAGATACTCCTCTGTGCTCAGTCATTCTTGGTTATTTCTTGCTCATTAATGATCTCTAGTTTATGACTGGCAATGTCTGTGATATTCATGGTCAGCTCTTCTGTTAGGCTTCCTTAGTCTACTATAGTTCCAAGGTATTGAAACTGTTTGGTCTATTCAGAACCAATATTTACAGTCTGATCCTAAATATGTGATGTTTGAAACATGAAATTGTTTGCTGTTAACTCTCTAGGTTGAAGCTCTGAGAAAAAGACAAAAGTCTGTGTGTGCAAATACTCCCAGAAAGCCAGGAAAATACCGCAGGTTGTCTATGACAGGTTGGTAAAACTATGGTTTATGTTGAGTAGACATCACTACACTGAAGAAAAGCTTATATGAGCTTGGTCTCTCGATTAAAAAAAAAAGGAATTTGGTTTTGCTGTCACTGTCACAACCTGGTTAACTGCAAATCAGAAAAATCTTGTTCGTAATTTTAACCGGTTCCATAACCAGTTCATTACTTCAACAGCTGTGACTGAGAATATTCATCCAGACATTTTTTTCGTCTTGGACCAAGCTGTCAGCTGCTTTAAAAATATTCTGTGCATCTTCAGAGTCTCAGTACTTTTGAATCTAGCATCAGGGCCTTCTTAATGCATGGGCCTGCTGGACACTTGCCCATGGCACCGTGGGCAGAGAAACCCCATGCTAATCTTACTATGTAAAGTGACATGTGATACATAATCTTTCTCTCTCTCTCTCTCTCTCTCTCTCTCTCTCTCTCTCTCTCTCTCTCTCTCTCTCTCTCTCTCTCTCTCTCTCTCTCTCTCTCTCTCTCTCTCTCTCGCACCAAGACACACCAAGATGGTGGGAGGTTTTTTTCATTTGTTAGGATGAAGAGTGTCTATTTACCTGTTATTTGCGGTTAATGTGAGATTCTATGGGGAGCAGGGGTTTTGGACCATGCTACGGAGTACGTGCATGTGTGTCCGGTCCCCTATCGGCATTTTCGTCAGTGTGCTGCGGTGTAAATTCAAATATGGCAAACAGGCGATAGATGACAAGGACAAAAGCCGGCTAGCGTGCTGGTGTGTGTAGGAACCGGTTAAAATGTGATAGGCTGAGTATGAAATATGTTCACGTAGTGATTTGGAACTGTTTCTCCATTAATCAGAGGTGACTTATTGTTTATAAAGCTGCTTTTTGGTAATGTCATTGTGGTCCTGCAGAAAACATGCATTGGCGACGAGGAAGTTAGAGCGGGCGACGCTTTGACGAGAACACACCTGATGACATATCTGGGTGTGAAGTTGACTGAAGTCTGTCCTTCACAGACCATGGCGACCATGTTATAACGAAAGCCCGTAAAGGCTCAATAGTGAGGGTCCTGGCCACCGCCGCCAACATTGAGCAGAGACTGCTTCTTCTACTCTTCCAGGACATGGTTCTTTCTCCAGTTGAATATGCTTTAGCCATACTTACAGTCAGTGATACTCAGATTGAAAGACTGGAAAAGGTGCAAAATGAAGTTGTGCACATTATTCTGGAGTGCACAAGAGACACCTCTTGCATAGCAATGAGTTATCTTCTTGACTTTCCGACAATACCCCAAAGGATGAAGATCTGGAGGACTCGTGCACATATCTGAAGATAAGCTTGGATTGGAAGCATCCTCTGCACAATGTATTTTTTAGGAAAAAAGCTAACAGGTTAAAAAGGGGAGCAAATCATGGCTAGGTAGGGCAGAGGACAATATCATACAAGTCTGCAGTCTTACGGACATCAACCTTGGCGAAGAATGGATACCTGTGCCCGAGGTGCTCAACTGTACCTTTTCCTGTGTTGCCACGCTTGATAGGATCTGTCGGGAGCAGAATCCAGTTGCTGTCAATGCATAGGCCCACGCGCTTATATGTGAAAATCCAGATGAGGTGGATGTACTGATCTACACAGATGGGTCCGTCGTACGAGGACAAAAAAGTGCATGTGCATTTACTGCGGGCTCTGCAGGCAGAACAGTCCAGGAAGCAAGTGATGCCTTCTGTATGACTACTAGCAGCATGACAATTGAGGTGATGGAGGTGACACAAGCTTTCATTTGGGTCTATTCTTTCATCTCAGAGTCATTCTCACGGGTGTGCTGAGTGATTCCATGAGCATAATCCCGCGGGTCGAGACGAGCTTTTGTACACAGACAGTAGATCGAGTCATTGCATAGCTCCACTGAGTGTGGAGTTACCCATATCTTTGTCCCAGGGTATGTGGGTGTTGTTGACAATGAAAGAGCCGACAGATTAGCTGGCTCTGCCTTAGTTACAGATGGCTGGCTCATGGATCATACAGACATTGTTGATGACATTAGAGAGGTAGGACGTTCAGAGGATTTTGGGAGTAGCACATCCACATCTTTGCTAAGAGTGCAAGAACTGGAAGTAAAGATCAGCACACCTAGGCATGAGAAGCATACCTGACGCACGAGAAGTCTTGTCAACCAACATAGGACTGGAACTATCAACCGCTGAACACTAATGTATATGCTGAAGGGAGGATCTGAGCACCTATGGATGTGTCCAGAGTGCCATGAAGATGACCCAAATCAAAACTCTCTCTTTCTCTCTCCCTTTCTCAAATAAGGAATATTTATTGATGTCCATCTGCATATTTTCACACATGGAGCAATGACTCAAACAGACATTGTTGTTGGTTTTCTTAATGAGAAAGTTACCATATGTTTGAAATCACAAGTTACAACCACTCATTCCACAGCTATCTGTTGTAAGCTTCCAAAGCATTAGCTGAGAGTAAGAGATAAGAATTTTCGGTACTATTCAGCTTTTTCACCCCATCATCAGCTGCAAGATTTGGTAGGAAATTCCTAGGGGGTTACCCAGAAGGCCCCAGAAGGTCCTATAGTATGGGGGGGGGGGGGGGGGGGTTACAGTAGGATTAGTTTCCTCTTTGTTTTCTTTCATTTGCTCAAAATGGATTATTAATTTCTGCAGTGTCCTCTCTTGTATGAACTTGGCTGTATTCTGTATTGCACTTATTGACCCGTAAAGTTTGACTTGAACCGATGTTTCTCTTGGGCATATAGGCAGTGGGAAGTGAATTATGGAGATTTTGGTGCAGGCCCTGGTGGCAGGGAAAGAGTCCTGAAAAGGAGCGACAGTCTCCAGGTATGCATGCTTGTTGGTTAGGTTAGATGCAGGAAATAGGGACAGGCTAAGGAACTTCACAGCAAAGGGGAAATCACGAAGCAAACAGGGCGGCTATCCTCCGAAAAATCGGTCGGCAAAGATGGCGACGGCAAAATATCCAGCCGAGCCGCCGGTCACAGGTCATTGCGCGCTTCCGGCTACTTCATGTGCCCTTTTCCGGCAACAATGGCTACTGCCACGTGGCCCCCCATGCCACTCACGCGGCGTAGATCGGGACTAAACTAGATGGCTAGGACTCACGAGCAAAGCTGCAGGAGAGGCGGAAGCTGCTGCTCGTGAGTCCTAGTCATCTAGTTTACCACATGGCTGTAGCGGTTGTTGGCGGAAAACCGCAGGAAGACCACAAATTAAGTGGCCGGAAGTGCGCAATGACCCGCGACCAACAAGAGTAACACACTATGGAAATTATAACGCAATAAATGATGAACATGCTGAAAACAACCAACACGAGGCACGACCAAAAAATAACAGTTCAAGTTTTGTATTGTTACTATTAAATGAACTCTGACTAAGGCTAGCCCTAACCCTGCCCCACCCTTCTCCCCCCAGCCATATTATAAGACTGTCTGGGGAACTACCTAGGATAGGGAACTACTTAGGAATTCCCTCACAGCCAATGAGATAGGGCGAAAAAGCTGAAAAGAACCGAATTTCCTTTGTGAGTGACGTTTTGGAAAGCCATTTCAGCACTTTGGTAGCAACCTTGACGTTACTGACTGAAGTCCAAGTATGCACCTCATTATTGTAATGCAGATATCTCTTGTGCAGTGTCTCAGACCTTCATTCTGAGTGCACTCTTGTCATTCACACTAGGAGATCCATGGTTTATTACAAAATCTGTTTTCTGTTTAATGTCAGAGATGTTTGACATGAGCATAGCTTAGCTAAACAGTTTTATTATGTTAGTGTGCTAATGTCTTTATGTATATGAATACTATAGCTCCAGTGATGACTGCTATAAATCTCCAGAATACCTGAATCCATGAGCAGATAGATGGCATCTGAAGCGTGCACACTGTTTGAGGCAAAGGGCTTAAACATTTCACCATAGAGACAGACGGAGACACCTCATTCCAGTGATTTACTGCATTCAGCTCAAGACTGAACTAGATATATTCAACTTGTGATCACTTTTTCTTTGGCACCTGTCCATCTCTTCAGATGATAGTGTTTCATTGTGCTATATTAAGGGATGAGAATCACAGCCCTTGGTGATGGTGAGATCTGACCATTTAAGGCCAAGGATGAGGCTCCTCATCCCAGCAGCACGGATCTAGAGCAGTATTCTAGAGATCAAGTGTTGCCGATGCAGCATGATCCATCTCTCTCTGCTTTGATAGTGATAACTCATAAAGAAAACGTGTCCTAACACATTGACTGCAGCATGATCCATCTCTCTTTGCTTTGATAGTGATAACTCATAAAGAAAACGTGTCCTAACACATTGACTGCAGCATGATCCATCTCTCTCTCTGCTTTGATAGTGATAACTCATAAAGAAAACGTGTCCTAACACATTGACTGCAGCATGATCCATCTCTCTCTTTGCTTAAAAATAGTGTGTCCGTAACTCATAAAGCGTCCACTGTGACTTTGAACGTGCATCCTAGAACACGTTGACATGGTCACCAGCATGATCCATCTCTCTTTGCTTTGATAGTGATAACTCATAAAGAAAACGTCGCCCCTACAACGCCTGGACTGCCCTAACACATTGACTGCAGCATGATCCATCTCTCTCTTTGCTTTGATAGTGATAACTCATAAAGAAAACGTGTCCTAACACATTGACTGCAGCATGATCCATCTCTCTTTGCTTTGATAGTGATAACTCATAAAGAAAACGTGTCCTAACACATTGACTGCAGCATGATCCATCTCTCTCTGCTTTGATAGTGATAACTCATAAAGAAAACGTGTCCTAACACATTGACTGCAGCATGATCCATCTCTCTCTGCTTTGATAGTGATAACTCATAAAGAAAACGTGTCCTAACACATTGACTGCAGCATGATCCATCTCTCTCTGCTTTGATAGTGATAACTCATAAAGAAAACGTGTCCTAACACATTGACTGCAGCATGATCCATCTCTCTCTCTGCTTTGATAGTGATAACTCATAAAGAAAACGTGTCCTAACACATTGACTGCAGCATGATCCATCTCTCTCTGCTTTGATGGTGATAACTCATAAAGAAAACGTGTCCTAACACATTTAGAATAAAGCACGCTGCAGAAGCTGCCATTTCAGAAGAGCAGTGCTGTCTGTCCGTCTTTCAGAGCTTCACTTTGAGGCCAGATGCCAGCCAAGACTAAGGGCCTAGTCTGCTCTGCCATAACATTAAGTTTTAAGTTTGCATTTCCTTATCCTAGGATAAAGCTTGTATCCTGCCCCTGAAGTGCTTTTCTGCCTACAGTCATTCCCACAAGCAGGATATCAGGTTAGCAACTAAACATTTGGCACGAACATAGAACATGCGGTGCTGACTACCTGGTCATATTGTCAACTTTATATTTGCCAAATAAGAACTACTAGAACCAGATATGACCTATTGGTTTGACGTAATGTGGCTCGGACCAGATTTTATTTCCTAGAATATTTTTCCAGCTACTACACAGTTTGGTCAGGAACAAAAGCAACCTGATTTTTGTCCTAAAATTGCCAAGCAGAAGTGGGACTCCATAGAAAAGAATGTAAGCATTATTATTTAAAACATTTTTTAGTTTTCATATATTATATTATGTCATAAACCTTTTCTTTCATTTAAATGTGTATTATCCCTGTATGGGTTCCAGGGTCCCCATTTTGATTTTATTAGAAAGCGTCGCTGGAATTACATCGGTCACGTACTCAGAATGGACATACAGAGACTTCCCCACCAAGCCTTCGTATGGTCACCAGAGGGTAAAAGAAAACAGGGAAGACCAAAAGAAACTCTCCGTAGAACCATCACAAGGGAGAGCTCAACCATAGGTCTCAGTCGCACTCAAGACCTACATCAAGTGGCAAAGAACCGACAGACGTGGAAAGCTATGACCTCTGCCCTATGCGCCATCTTTGGCACAAGAGGAATAACTAACTAACTAACTAACTATTATGGAGAAAATAAGAATAGACACACTGCCTCCATAGAAGCATGTCATCGCAGTCAACAAATTAGGGGCTTTCTTCTAAGTTGGAGTGCATCTACCTGAAAGGTGAAAGACCTATAGTCTGCATACTAATAAGTCAGATCTGTAAAATGGATGTGCATGTCACACTCAAGTTCTGGAACAAGGCTTAAGTCCAGAAGTGGATGAACATCCTGAACTTTCCATCAGAGCTGACATCCATATTGTTGTAAACAGTTTTTTACAGTCTACTGTGGTCAGTTAATTAATGATATTACTGCTGTGTTAGTGACACATTAGTGTTTACTGGCTGCAGGGGTTAGTTTAACGTTTTATTTGCTTGTAGACTGTCACTGTCACAAAATTGTTTGCCCAGAAAGTATGTGACTGTCATGAAAAGTGAACACAACTATGACATATTACTGTAGAAAATTGACAACTGCATGTTATTGCAGACAGTTGACTACTGCATGTTATTGTAGACAGTTGACTACTGCATGTTATTGTAGACAGTTGACTACTGCATGTTATTGTAGACAGTTGACTACTGCATGTTATTGCAGACAGTTGACTACTGCATGTTACTGTAGACAGTTGACTACTGCATGTTATTGCAGACAGTTGACTACTGCATGTTATTGTAGACAGTTGACTACTGCATGTTATTGTAGACAGTTGACTACTGCATGTTGTTGCAGACAGTTGACTACTGCATGTTATTGTAGACAGTTGACTACTGCATGTTATTGCAGACAGTTGACTACTGCATGTTATTGTAGACAACTGACTACTGCATGTTATTGTAGACAACTGACTACTGCATGTTATTGTAGACAGTTGACCACTGAATGTTATTGTAGACAGTTGACTACTGCATGTTATTGTAGACAGTTGACCACTGAATGTTACTGTAGACAGTTGACTACTGCATATTATTGTAGACAGTTGACCACTGCATGTTATTGTAGACAGTTGACCACTGAATGTTATTGTTGACAGTTGACTACTGCATGTTATTGTAGACAACTGACTACTGCATGTTATTGTAGACAGTTGACTACTGCATGTTATTGTAGACAGTTGACTACTGCATGTTATTGTTGACAGTTGACTACTGCATGTTATTGTTGACAGTTGACTACTGCATGTTATTGTAGACAACTGACTACTGCATGTTATTGTAGACAGTTGACCACTGAATGTTATTGTAGACAGTTGACTACTGCATGTTATTGTAGACAGTTGACCACTGAATGTTACTGTAGACAGTTGACTACTGCATGTTATTGTAGACAGTTGACCACTGCATGTTATTGTAGACAGTTGACCACTGAATGTTATTGTTGACAGTTGACTACTGCATGTTATTGTAGACAGTTGACTACTGCATGTTATTGTAGACAGTTGACTACTGCATGTTATTGTAGACAGTTGACTACTGAATGTTACTGTAGACAATCAGCTGCTGTATGTTACAGTAGACTGGTAACTAGTAATTCTTGCCCATGAAGTTATCACTGCCAGTTTCTTCCATTCTTAATTTCAGATAACGTCTATGATTTACAAGCGTCAAACCATATCCATTCTAGAAAGGGACATGGATGTTTGGCTGCAGGTTAGTTGTTCAAGATTTGTGCCTTCAGGATCGAAACATTACGTTATGACCTACAGATTATCATAAAGGAATATAAATTAGATTACCTGATGGAGCAACAGACAGCTGCTAGCCATGCCCACATATCATAAATAGATAAACAGTTATTATACAATCCAAAACCAATAAACATTCATTGCTGTCTGACCAAACAGGATGGGCCTGAATAACAGGTAGTGCAATTGTTCCCACTGAAACACCAAATATATTTCAATGGTTGTGGCATTTAAAAATGTGGCTGTATAAGCCTAAGATAAGGAAGTGCATACCTTCTATGCAATTTCACTCTTTAGTCAACCCACGCTAATATAAATTGATGCTGGACAATGTCTAGTATGATTCAGGAATTATATAGGAAGAAAAGGCAAAGAGAAGGGAACAACTGGTTGTTCCATTTTAAATGGCATGGCCTAAAATATGTGAAATCTAACATCTCACACACCCCAGTGGCAGTATCTGTTAACTCTTTGAGTCCCAAGGAACGCATCACATGTTCATAGATTCCTACCTAGAAACCCAGTGAACGCATGATGCGCCGATTTTATTACTTTCTTTACTACTCCCTGGGCCTGTGATGCTAAACCCTCTGGGACTCAAAGAGTTAAGGAACTTAATTTTATTGACCAGTTTCAAATGCTCTCATGCCATGGTGTTGTGTATTGTAGTGAATCTCATTTTCTCCTAGATAAATTATGCCTAGACGGAATGACGTCAATTATAAATGTTAGTGGAATATTTTGATTCTAACTGGGATAACACGTGAATTGCTGATAAGTCTAACTTCACGTGAATTGTAGAGAAATGCTGATAGTCTAACTTCATGTGAAGTATTATTTTTCACGGGGGTCACACAAAAACTGCTGGCCAAATGTAATTCGTGTAAAACGGAGAACACGAATTCAAAAGCACGAGGAGGGCATTAGAAGGTATATAATGCCTGAGAAAGAGCTGGTAGTCAGTCTCGTTTAGGCATAGGAAATGAATACATGAAGTATGATGGAGTGTCTGCGGAATCCAGAAAGAATGTTTAAGTTCGATGTGTCTGCACAGTGTTTTTCCAACGCCTACCTGGCCATCAGTTGCGGCGAACGGAAGTCGTAGCCAGCTGAGAATGTTTGTTTTTTGAAACGGATGGAATCGTTGTTGTTCATTCAATTGTTGGATGGAAGATATGTTATAAGGTAAAGTTGACATGTTAGATAAGTGAGGATAGATAAGAGTGACTATGTTGTCCATTAACATTTACTGGCTGCCATACCAGCGAGTGAACAAATAAACGTGTAATTTGGGTCGTTTGCCAGCGTCCATGTTTCTCGTGTGTTGTCAGTCAGTGAATGGAAGCGTGCAATGACTAGAGCCAGAAGAAGACAATAGAAAGTCATTACATGTATGTGTGATGACACACTCTTGACTTCAGTACATGTCTTTCCTCAACCTAATTTTTTTCTATGTTTTTTTAAGTATAGAGAAAATATGGTCCAGGATATAACCTAAGTCAAGGCCATCCTGAACAAAGCCATGTTCCCATTTGTACTGTTGAAGTCAAACATCAGTACCCTTGCAGAGCGTTTGAGGTGTCCGATAATTAAGACAAGACCAACCAGGTAGACTGGGTGGCTACAGTTATATTGAATGTGCTGACCACCTAACCTGAGGTGTCGGATAATTATCTTTGAGACCAGACCATCAGAGGCAGGCAACTCTGATAAAGTAATTATCTCCCCCTGAGATTACCCCACTTGAGTGTAGGTCAAAAAGCTAGTTTTTACACTTGTCCAATGGAGGTGTTAGCAGACCGCCTGGACCACATGTCTGAGTTTTTGGCAGACCTGAGGGGAAAGAAAGGTTTATTTTCTCCATTTGTTTCAAGTTAGGTTATCATTATCTTAACACCATTTTGACTCTACTAGCCTATGCACTCTTGAACTCATGGACTGACTCATTACAATCACTGAACTGATATCCTTTATGATTTCAAGATTAATACCATCCATTTATTTTTGTTTAGACTATTAATACAATCTTGTTCATGTTGTTATAAAAGAGTTGAGTAAATTGTGTACTTAGATTCAAGTGTTTTGGTACATACTAGTTTACCTCAGCTCATGTATATGTAAATCACTTCATGAGGGCTTTTGTTATAAATTTATACCAGGAGAGGAGAAAGTCGGAGGGGTTAACTGTGTATCTTGATATTCTCTCATTGAATTCATCTTGATATCTAACTATCCCTTTTCCTACTCCTGTGAATACAAGTACAGCTACTTCCACTTTATTGTACGAGCCACTTTTGCTGTTTTCTTGGTTATCCAGGACTGTGTCTGGGATCAACATAGCTCAGATATTAATCCAAATTCTCACGTTGGTGTGCAATGTTGGGATAAAAACCTGACAATTGAGGCGCTCACTAAGATTCAAACCCATGCTCTCACTTTATAAGTGTATATTCCCACGTGGGTTAATGACAGTATGTAAATAATATTTACAGGCTTTAATGTAGGATTGTCTCTTTCAAGAAAATATTGATTTCTCACATAATCAATTTCAAGTGCGGCAACACAACTGAACATGCACTTGAAAGAGTTGAAAGAACAGCAGACTGAAATTGTTGTCCCCTGACTCTGTAGATCTTTTCATAACTGGGAAATGTACAATATTTTGAAGAATATTGAAAACTGTCTTTCCTGTCTGTCTCAAAGTGTTTGCTTCGCCCTGTATCTGTCTCAGAGTGTTTGCTTCTCTCTGTATATGTGTCTCTCTTACTCTTTGTGTATTTTATTATGTAGCGTTTTTTCTTGTTAAAAATAGCAACGAGAAAAGTGCACAAAAGAAATTGAGAAATACCAGCAACGAAAGCAAGAAGCTGTTGGCTCTAACCAGGTAGGCTGTGAGAATATCTGGTTTGTGTATTCACCATGTCTGTTTCTCCATCAAGGCTGTAGAGGACTTTCAGTCCCAGAAGTGATCTGAAGATAGACAGCTATCAGTCTGAACCCACACAAGTATGTTACTGTGAGAGTATCATCTGAGTTTTATCAGAACCCACACAAGTATGTTACTGTGAGAGTATCACCTGAGTTTAATCAGAACCCACACAAGTATGTTACTGTGAGAGTATCATTTGAGTTTTATCAGAACCCACACAAGTATGTTACTGTGAGAGTATCATTTGAGTTTTATCAGAACCCACACAAGTATGTTACTGTGAGAGTATCACCTGAGTTTAATCAGAACCCACACAAGTATGTTACTGTGAGAGTATCACCTGAGTTTAATCAGAACCCACACAAGTATGTTACTGTGAGAGTATCATTTGAGTTTTATCAGAACCCACACAAGTATGTTACTGTGAGAGTATCATCTGAGTTTTATCAGAACCCACACAAGTATGTTACTGTGAGAGTATCATCTGAGTTTTATCAGAACCCACACAAGTATGTTACTGTGAGAGCATCATCTGAGTTTTATCAGAACCCACACAAGTATGTTACTGTGAGAGTATCATCCGAGTTTTATCAGAACCCACACAAGTATGTTACTGTGAGAGTATCATCTGAGTTTTATCAGAACCCACACAAGTATGTTACTGTGAGAGTATCATCTGAGTTTTATCAGAACCCACACAAGTATGTTACTGTGAGAGTATCATCTGAGTTTTATCAGAACCCACACAAGTATGTTACTGTGAGAGTATCATTTGAGTTTTATCAGAACCCACACAAGTATGTTACTGTGAGAGTATCACCTGAGTTTAATCAGAACCCACACAAGTATGTTACTGTGAGAGTATCACCTGAGTTTTATCAGAACCCACACAAGTATGTTACTGTGAGAGTATCATTTGAGTTTTATCAGAACCCACACAAGTATGTTACTGTGAGAGTATCATCTGAGTTTTATCAGAACCCACACAAGTATGTTACTGTGAGAGTATCATCTGAGTTTTATCAGAACCCACACAAGTATGTTACTGTGAGAGTATCATCTGAGTTTTATCAGAACCCACACAAGTATGTTACTGTGAGAGTATCATCTGAGTTTTATCAGAACCCACACAAGTATGTTACTGTGAGAGTATCATCTGAGTATTATCAGAAACCCACACAAGTATGTTACTGTGAGAGTATCATCTGAGTTTTATCAGAACCCACACAAGTATGTTACTGTGAGAGTATCATCTGAGTTTTATCAGAACCCACACAAGTATGTTACTGTGAGAGTATCATCTGAGTTTTATCAGAACCCACACAAGTTGTTACAGGGAGATTGTCATCTGTGTTTTATCAGAACCTGCACAAGTTGTAACAGTGAGAGTATCATCTGAGTTTTATCAGAACCCACACAAGTATGTTACTGTGAGAGTATCATCTGAGTTTTATCAGGACCCGCACAAGTTGTTACAGGGAGATTGTCATCTGTGTTTTATCAGAACCTGCACAAGTATGTTACAGTGAGAGTATCATCTCTGTTTATCAGAACCCACACAAGTGTGTTACAGTGAGACATATGTATTCTATCAGAACCCACACAAGTGTGTTACAGTGAGACATATGTGTTCTATCAGGACCCACACATGTGTGTTACAGTGAGACATATGTATTCTATCAGGACCCACACATGTGTGTTACAGTGAGACATATGTATTCTATCAGGACCCACACATGTCTGTTACAGTGAGACATATGTATTCTATCAGGACCCACACATGTCTGTTACAGTGAGACATATGTATTCTATCAGAACCCACACATGTCTGTTACAGTGAGACATATGTATTCTATCAGGACCCACACATGTGTGTTACAGTGAGACATCTGTGTTCTATCAGAACCCACACATGTCTGTTACAGTGAGACATATGTGTTCTATCAGAACCCACACATGTGTGTTACAGTGAGACATCTGTGTTCTATCAGAACCCACACATGTCTGTTACAGTGAGACATATGTATTCTATCAGGACCCACACATGTGTGTTACAGTGAGACATATGTATTCTATCAGAACCCACACAAGTGTGTTACAGTGAGACATCTGTATTCTATCAGAACCCACACAAGTGTGTTACAGTGAGACATCTGTGTTCTATCAGAACCCACACATGTCTGTTACAGTGAGACATATGTGTTCTATCAGGACCCACACATGTGTGTTACAGTGAGACATATGTGTTCTATCAGGACCCACACCTGTGTGTTACAGTGAGACATATGTATTCTATCAGGACCCACACATGTGTGTTACAGTGAGACATCTGTATTCTATTAGAACCCACACATGTCTGTTACAGTGAGACATATGTATTCTATCAGGACCCACACCTGTGTGTTACAGTGAGACATATGTGTTCTATCAGAACCCACACATGTCTGTTACAGTGAGACATATGTGTTCTATCAGAACCCACACATGTCTGTTACAGTGAGACATATGTGTTCTATCAGAACCCACACATGTGTGTTACAGTGAGACATATGTGTTCTATCAGAACCCACACATGTGTGTTACAGTGAGACATCTGTGTTCTATCAGAACCCACACATGTCTGTTACAGTGAGACATCTGTATTCTATTAGAACCCACACATGTCTGTTACAGTGAGACATATGTATTCTATCAGGACCCACACATGTGTGTTACAGTGAGACATCTGTATTCTATCAGGACCCACACATGTGTGTTACAGTGAGACATATGTATTCTATCAGGACCCACACATGTGTGTTACAGTGAGACATCTGTATTCTATTAGAACCCACACATGTCTGTTACAGTGAGACATATGTATTCTATCAGGACCCACACCTGTGTGTTACAGTGAGACATATGTATTCTATCAGGACCCACACATGTGTGTTACAGTGAGACATATGTGTTCTATCAGAACCCACACATGTCTGTTACAGTGAGACATATGTGTTCTATCAGAACCCACACATGTGTGTTACAGTGAGACATATGTGTTCTATCAGAACCCACACATGTGTGTTACAGTGAGACATATGTGTTCTATCAGAACCCACACATGTGTGTTACAGTGAGACATATGTGTTCTATCAGAACCCACACATGTGTGTTACAGTGAGACATATGTGTTCTATCAGAACCCACACATGTGTGTTACAGTGAGACATATGTGTTCTATCAGGACCCACACCTGTGTGTTACAGTGAGACATATGTATTCTATCAGGACCCACACATGTGTGTTACAGTGAGACATCTGTATTCTATTAGAACCCACACATGTCTGTTACAGTGAGACATATGTATTCTATCAGGACCCACACATGTGTGTTACAGTGAGACATCTGTATTCTATCAGGACCCACACATGTGTGTTACAGTGAGACATATGTATTCTATCAGGACCCACACATGTGTGTTACAGTGAGACATCTGTATTCTATTAGAACCCACACATGTCTGTTACAGTGAGACATATGTATTCTATCAGGACCCACACCTGTGTGTTACAGTGAGACATATGTATTCTATCAGGACCCACACATGTGTGTTACAGTGAGACATCTGTATTCTATTAGAACCCACACATGTCTGTTACAGTGAGACATATGTATTCTATCAGAACCCACACCTGTGTGTTACAGTGAGACATATGTATTCTATCAGGACCCACACATGTGTGTTACAGTGAGACATATGTATTCTATCAGGACCCACACATGTGTGTTACAGTGAGACATATGTATTCTATCAGGACCCACACATGTATGTTACAGTGAGACATATGTATTCTATCAGGACCCACACATGTGTGTTACAGTGAGACATCTGTGTTCTATCAGAACCCACACATGTCTGTTACAGTGAGACATCTGTATTCTATCAGGACCCACACATGTGTGTTACAGTGAGACATATGTATTCTATCAGAACCCACACAAGTGTGTTACAGTGAGACATCTGTGTTCTATCAGGACCCACACATGTGTGTTACAGTGAGACATCTGTGTTCTATCAGAACCCACACATGTCTGTTACAGTGAGACATATGTGTTCTATCAGAACCCACATATGTGTGTTACAGTGAGACATATGTGTTCTATCAGAACCCACACATGTGTGTTACAGTGAGACATCTGTGTTCTATCAGAACCCACACATGTATGTTACAGTGAGACATATGTGTTCTATCAGAACCCACACATGTCTGTTACAGTGAGACATATGTATTCTATCAGAACCCACACCTGTGTGTTACAGTGAGACATATGTGTTCTATCAGAACCCACACATGTCTGTTACAGTGAGACATATGTGTTCTATCAGAACCCACACATGTCTGTTACAGTGAGACATATGTGTTCTATCAGAACCCACACATGTGTGTTACAGTGAGACATATGTGTTCTATCAGAACCCACACATGTGTGTTACAGTGAGACATATGTGTTCTATCAGAACCCACACATGTGTGTTACAGTGAGACATATGTGTTCTATTAGAACCCACACATGTGTGTTACAGTGAGACATATGTGTTCTATCAGAACCCACACATGTGTGTTACAGTGAGACATCTGTGTTCTATCAGAACCCACACATGTCTGTTACAGTGAGACATATGTATTCTATCAGAACCCACACCTGTGTGTTACAGTGAGACATATGTGTTCTATCAGAACCCACACATGTCTGTTACAGTGAGACATATGTGTTCTATCAGAACCCACACATGTGTGTTACAGTGAGACATATGTGTTCTATCAGAACCCACACATGTGTGTTACAGTGAGACATATGTGTTCTATCAGAACCCACACATGTGTGTTACAGTGAGACATATGTGTTCTATCAGAACCCACACATGTGTGTTACAGTGAGACATATGTGTTCTATCAGAACCCACACATGTGTGTTACAGTGAGACATATGTGTTCTATCAGAACCCACACATGTGTGTTACAGTGAGACATATGTGTTCTATCAGAACCCACACATGTCTGTTACAGTGAGACATATGTGTTCTATCAGAACCCACACATGTGTGTTACAGTGAGACATATGTGTTCTATCAGAACCCACACATGTCTGTTACAGTGAGACATATGTGTTCTATCAGAACCCACACATGTCTGTTACAGTGAGACATATGTATTCTATCAGAACCCACACATGTCTGTTACAGTGAGACATATGTGTTCTATCAGACCACACATGTGTGTTACAGTGAGACATCTGTATTCTATCAGAACCCACACATGTGTGTTACAGTGAGACATCTGTATTCTATCAGAACCCACACATGTGTGTTACAGTGAGACATCTGTATTCTATCAGAACCCACACAAGTGTGTTACAGTGAGACATCTGTATTCTATCAGAACCCACACAAGTGTGTTACAGTGAGTGTATCAGAACCCACACAGTGTGAGACATCTGTATTCTATCAGAACCCACACAAGTGTGTTACAGTGAGACATCTGTATTCTATCAGAACCCACACAAGTGTGTTACAGTGAGACATCTGTGTTCTATCAGAACCCACAAGGAAAACAAAGACTACCATGCATTTTTTTCTCTTCCTTAACCTCCTTTTTTTTCTTTTCTGGAGCCCTAGAACCCATGAGGCCATGCATGTCTTAAAAGGCTATTAAATGAGATTTGTTATTTCATCCCATTCACAACATGATCTATAGTCTAACCAGTCAAGGAATCTACTAAAAGCTTTTGTGAGTTGCTGTGCTGCTGAGTTAGCTGAGTTGCTGAGCTGCTCTAATTGATGAAAGGCAGTAGAGATTGAGTAGAGACGTCTAACTGTTACAGAATTAGACATAATGACTTTAGTTTCCATACGGTATATCTCTGTGCATCTCCCCAGTGTGTAACTGATTAAAGGCTGGTATATCAGCAAAGATATGGCACTATTAGCCACAGTGATCAAAGACAATGTTCCCACAATCATTAGTCAATTTGTCAGTTCGCCGTTGATGATTATAGAACAGTTTTCCATTGAAGACTGAACAACAGTTCTCCATTAAAGATTGAAGAACAGTTCTCCATTGAAGACTGTAGACCAGTTCTCGATCGAAGATTCTATAGTGTCCTGTTTATATTATTTTGTTACCCTTGCAACTTAGATACTAGAATTTATCCTTTACATGCATGATGCCAGAAAAGGTTAAACAAAACAAAACTAGAAGTCAGTTTGTACACATGTGATTCAAGCTAGGGTAAAAAAAGAAAAGAGCAAGAATTTAGTCGGTACACATGACCCCAGGAAGGATAAGAAAGAACAAACACTAGGGTTCAATCTGTATGCATATGACCTCAGCTAAGGCAAGATATTACCAAGCTAGAACTTAGTCTGAACACACATGACTGAACAAGGATAAGAACGGAGACCATGTGAGTGTACAAGGTGTGACAATTTGAGATCCACTGCTTGTGAGTGTATATTTGAATGTCAATATCTTTTTAATTTCTTATTTTTATTTTAAATAACATAACACACAAATGATGTTTGCAGCTAGATGAAGTGCATAAACTGGACAGAATAATAGATGACCTCACTTTGAAATCAGAACATGCTCAGGAGAACATTCTAGAATGCCAGTCTAATATTATGCACATGGAAGAAACAAAGGTTAGTATTGTTAGTAAATGTTTAACACATATATTGTAATTTTTTTTTTTTTTTACATATTTCCTTGAATGTCAAGAAAAAGAAAGCAGAAACAATGGTTATATCAAAGGAAAAGATAACTCCAAAATGTGACATAGCAATAGAAGGGAAAGTGCTTAACCAAGTCAATAAATTCAAGTATTTAGGGACAATCATAACATCAGAGTGACGATGCGTGACAGAAATTAGGGGCAGAATTGGCCAGGCAAAGGCAGCATTTCGGAAAATGGAAAGTATCTTATGTAATAAATCACTCTCATTAAACATCAGAAAACTAATATTGAAATGTTACATTGATCCTGTTGTGTGGCAGTGAATCTTGGAATGTGAGCAAACAAATTAAGAAAAGTTTGGAAGCAACTGAGATGTGGTTCTTGAGAAGAATGTTTCAAATACTTGGACTGCCAGAATAACTGACAATGATTGCCTGGAAATGGCTAATGAGAGTAGTAGAACATTATATACAACAATGAAAAGGAGACAAACCAAAGTTCTTTGGTCGTGTGATGAGAAAAGCAGCATTGGAAAAAATCGTGGTGACTGGAAAGATCACTGGTAGAAGATGCAGAGGCAGACCAAGAGAAATGATTGTGGATGGCTTAAGACAGTGGCATGTAGGAATATCATCAGTAGAATTGATCCAGAACACCAAAGACCAAGATCTGTGGAGATGCATGAGCGCCAATGCCACCTGGCAAGGCACTTGATGATTAATGATATTCAGTGACAAAAATATTTCTGTTTTACACACAGGAAGATTTAAACAAAACAGTAATATTTCACTACTGAAAATGTGCATATCTGGGTTTGTTTATAAAATCTGATAGGAGATGGAAGTAGGGAGGTCTCCTTAGCAACGTGGTTATTACGATTGCCTTTTGCTCTGAAAGTTGGGAGTTTGTTTGCAGATTTTTCCTTGTCTTCATCAGCGAAAGTCTTTCAGAGATCTCTGGGAGTAATTGTACTTTGTGCACAGTATACATTTTGATGAGAGTGGGTGAACCCAGCGGAACAATCCTCCCCTTCTGGGAACTGAACCTGGACTATTGTCTTGTCAGGCTAGCCCACTAACCACTACGCCATAGCCCTAATGATTTTTGAAATGTGTTGTAGAAAATACAGAGCAACATTGATGAATGATTGAGAACACCATTAATCTTACTCTAATTTTGTATTAGGAGCTGCTTCATTGATTTAGATCTAGGTTTTACTGTGTGTTTGTTTTACCTGTAATAAAAAGAAGCTATTATACTTTCTTTGGTCACACCACGAGAAGGAGAAGACTGAAGTAATTGTCATCGTCATCATTAATTTCCATTTCTGCGTTAAGAATCATGGGGAGTAACAGTTTGAGATCCCCTGCTTGCTGGGCAGCAATGGCTGTTGTCATTTGATGTTGATGTAGAAGCTCTTCAGTGACAAGAATCAATATTCTCCTAGGGTGTCCTCTTGCTTTTATTTGAGATCTTTTCATGTGTAGCCCCTGCCTTGGTTGTTTTTCTAGTTGTATTCTTCTTAGATGACCAAACCATTTCTGTTTCTCAGTGAATTCGCTGCATGATAGTAATTGTAGTGGTGGGAAAGTTGCTGAGAAATAGAGACCAAGAGAAGAGATGGTCATCAGTTTGGGCATGATGTCATGGAAGATCATGTGTCAGAAATGACTGAAAGTGCAGGAGAAAGCTGTTGGCTGAAACGTTAACCAGGGCCACAGAGCATGAATAATAATAATAAATAATTTTTAACAAGAAGTAATTGAGCTTCGTGTGACTTACGTCAGTTTTTTTTTTTTTTTTTTTATGAAAACATTTATGAGAACAACTGCAAATTCTCTAAGATAAGTACAGTGGGGCCTTGGTAGACATTTAACTTGTTATACTTCCCGTTTAAATGCAAAAACCTTTACTTGGTATGTGAACATTGTTTAGAATATGCCCAGTGTGCTTGAACTTGTATGAATCCCAATGAGTTGTGACACTGCACACTACCCTTGCTTACCTCTAATCAAGGAATTGTTTGCCAAATGGATAGTCAATTACTTTTCAAAGTAGTATCACACTATCAAAGCCCACTCAAGCCATAATAGCATTGTAAGTAATGACCAGACAATGGCACACATCTGAAAATCCTGAGAAGAAGGCAGAAGCAAAGTTCTCCCGACAGATTTTTAGTCAGTTCAAATCTGATGAACCTCAACCAGGTCAAGAAATTAAAAAGAGACCCCCCAAAAAAAAAGTAAACAAAAAAAAATTTACATTCCTGAAGTTTTATTGGAAAGGAACTCTCCTTCCAAACAATAACATCTCTTCCTACCTTCTCAGTAACATCCCAGTAGGCACTTGACATTTCTCAGAAAGGTCAAGTGAGGTTAAATTTTCAATTATCAAATTGCTTTTGTATTATGTATTTTAGTATTAGGCAGTACATAAATTATTTTATACAAGCTCATCAATGTACTTCTTCTTCTTCACTTTCTCTGTTCGATCATTCACTCACTCGCTTACACAAACATGCATACACACCCACATACATACACACATATTACAACACACACACATATATACACACAAATACATTCATACATACATACACTCACAAACAAACACTTACACACACACAGACACACAGATGCAGACATTCAGACTCAGACACACACTCAGACACACCCGCAGACACACACACAGACACACACACAGACTCAGATACACACACTCAGACACACATGCAGACACACACAGAGACACACACATGCAGACACACACACACACACAGACACACACACACAAACACACACATGCAGACATACATGCAGACACGCAGACACACACACAGACGCAGACACACACACGCAGACACACATGCAGACACACACAGACACACACATGCAGACACGCAGACACACATGCGCATACACACACAGAGATACACACACAGAGATACACACACAGACACACACACGCAGACACACTCACACACACACACACAGGCAGACACACACACAGAGACACACACATACATACATGTATGTGGATGGAGCCGTTATGTGAACGTCTCAAGTGCTGTGAAGTCAGTGTTGAACTCTTAACACTGTTGACAATTCTGGAGAAAGTCTACCGGAACAGAACAAGGTGATATCCAAGAAACATCTACATGACAGAACCATGCCAGGACATTGGTCGTGTGGAGACTCATTGAGCTGGTGAGAAATAATGAGAACAGAGGGCTATCGAGTGGCATGATCTGATGACTTCAGTACCGATCCTACTAACCTAATGATGTTGATGATAAGGATGATGTTGATGATGAGGATGATGATGATGATGATGATGATGATGATGATGATGATGATGATGATGTTGATGATGATGTTGATGATGATGATGATGATGTTGATGATGATGATGATGATGTTGATGATGATGATGATGATGATGATGATGATGATGATGATGATGATGTTGATGATGATGACTGTGACATTTCACAATTTGTTGATGAGTTTGATCATTTGTATCTTCAAGGATGGCAGAGAGGCCAGCTTGGACATAAATGTTTACCTGGAAACTATGTCTTTGGAGGAATGCAGGTACATGATAGCAAAATTCTATCAGAGAGCTGTAGACAGGGTAAGCTTTCGTGGTGTGGTCTTAAACACTACAGTATTTATGTTCATTTGGTTTGTGTTAATAATGAAAAAAATCTCATTAACTTTGCCGGAATTGTGGGTAAAGTTTGTATACAGAATGTAAAAGCATAGAATAAATCAGGGAACATCTGAAACTTCACAGTAACATCTGGAGTAAGACAGGGATGTGTCTTATCTCCACTGTTGTTTATCACTTACATCGACAGTACAAGGATGCCAAGCCCACGAAGGAAAATATTAGTCAGGAAGATCAACAACTTACTTTTTGCTGAGGACCAGGCCATGATAACAGATACAGCCTTGAAACTGCTACAGCATCTGACATCTATGAATGAAGAATGTAAAACAAAATATGTAAAAAAAAAAAAATGAGAATCAACACAGAAAAAACAGAAGTAATGTCAACAGGAAGACAGAAGCAGAAACTAAATATAACAGTAGAATGGAAGGGCCTTAAACAGTCATCTGAGTTTAAATACCTGGGAACAACATTCACAGAAGATGGGAAACTGGATGAAGAAATTAACATCTGATGCAGTAAAGCAAACCAAGTATTGGGATAACTAGCTCCCCAAATATGATCACTCACAAGAAACCATAAAAGAAAATTAGTAAATTTTTTTCATATACGTCATATTTGGTATATGTCCAAGGATCAGTAACAGATTAAGTGTGTATACCAAGGTGTGAGAAGGGCTGCAGGAGTGACAAGAAGAGATAAAATTAAAAATGAGGTCATAAAAGATAACAATCAGCACAGAACCAAATTCTAAATTGTATACAAAGACAGCGGATAAAATGGTTTGCTCACTTGGAGAGAATGTGACACCATACAATACAAGGCATACACTAAAAGAGCAAAAGGATATAGAACACAAGGTAGACCAAGAACAAAATGGAAAGATAACATCAGAGAAACGCTACAACAGCAAGATGTTTCTGTGGTCAAGGCAGAAGAGCAAGAAGTAGAAGCTTATACAAGTTTATCTCCCTTGACACCTGAAGTGATAAAAGAGGAAGTGAAAACAAAACATTGTTGGTGAACTATGCTGACCCGGTAGCATGTTCTTTACAACATTTTGTTGTCTTTGAAACAGAAGAAGGTGCCCCAACTGTTGAAGGATGGACAAATTAGTTTGGAAACCTTCTCTTGGGTATCACTAATGAAATCAGTTTGCTAGTCCCTGTCAATTCCATGAAGAATATCATATTGCATGCACAAAGTGATATCAAATACAGACTTGCCTGTAAATGCCTTCCTAAAGTGTTAAATGGGTATTAAGAAAACTAACTGAAAGGGTCACAAAGATGTCCAGACAACTAGCAAAACTGTGCATCTAGTTTGCTTACTTTAGCTGCCGCAAATTACATCTGTTATGTGGATCAATAGTCTGCTCCTGACAAGTGTTGTCTGTCAGTGTACACAGTTGTGGAGTCCTCCTTGATATTCTGCTGAATTTTGTTTTCTCTGAAAGTATGAAATTGAGATGGTAGTGAAGAATGTTGAAAGCAGCTGAATTGTTATTGTTGTTTATTTTATCATTGGTGTTGACAGGAAGAGTTCTCTTAGTAATACATAGTGTTATTTTGGTAACTGCTGCTGTGTCACTCTATTCCATATTTTGGTAACTGCTGCTGTGTCACTCTATTCCATATTTTGGTAACTGCTGCTGTGTCACTCTATTCCATATTTTGGTAACTGCTGCTGTGTCACTCTATTCCATATTTTGGTAACTGCTGCTGTGTCACTCTATTCCATATTTTGGTAACTGCTGCTGTGTCACTCTATTCCATATTTTGGTAACTGCTGCTGTGTCACTCTATTCCATATTTTGGTAACTGCTGCTGTGTCACTCTATTCCATATTTTGGTAATTGCTGCTGTGTCACTCTATTCCATATTTTGGTTACTGCTGCTGTGTCACTCTAATTCCTTATTTTGGTAACTGCTGCTGTGTCACTCTATTCCATATTTTGGTAACTGCTGCTGTGTCACTCTATTCCATATTTTGGTAACTGCTGCTGTGTCACTCTATTCCATATTTTGGTAACTGCTGCTGTGTCACTCTATTCCATATTTTGGTAACTGCTGCTGTGTCACTCTATTCCATATTTTGGTAACTGCTGCTGTGTCACTCTATTCCATATTTTGGTAACTTCTGCTGTGTCACTCTATTCCATTCTATTCTATTCTATTTACCTGTGGTAGATTTATTTTGTTTCTGTCAGGACTCTTCATGGACCTTATCGCCTACTGCAGTTCTCTACTGCTGTGAGGTTTTGACCATACACTACTTTCAAATAGGACCTTATGGTCTTCACTTTTTTTCCCAAGAAAGCTGAGTATCTGATCTCATATGTTTGCTGTGTTACTGTTTTCTGCACACTCAGGTTCATTCAGAACTCTTGCATTATAGTTTTTTATGTTGATTTACTTTGCTGAAATGTATTCTATAGAGATTGTTGTACTTTCAAAGTCAGTTTTTTGGTTGACCCGCTAACATTGTAGTACAACCAGCAAGAGACCTGTTCTTTGTCAGTTTTTTTTAAAGTTTTTTTGGTTACAGTAAATACAAGTCTGTCTATCTATTTTTAACCCTCTGAGCTGTTATCTGTAGATCTGACCACCCCTGTGACTTCAAGAGTTGCATTTTTGATGGCAAACAAACAGGACAAATCCAAATATCCCTTCAGCCTGCAAAAAAAATGTATTATTAGGGCCCCTGTAATGGCTTCAGCAGGTAGAACCTTTGTGTCTCCTGCAGCCCTTTGTGGGTAATGTTTTGGCTATTGCTATTCAAAAAAGTCAGACTTGTCAACATCTTGTGGGATGCAATTTTTAGTTATTTTGAAGCCCCACCCTGGCTTTTGCTGGAGGCCCTTTTTGCCTAACTGCTGAACGGGGTTTCCGGGACCTCTCCACGGATGATCCTCATCTGCATGGTGGCACTTTGTGTCACCCGATCTTAATCGCTTGTGTGATGTCCTGGTGGGGTACAATTACCTAACTACCTACCCCTCTGTGGGTAAAGTTTGTTAAGTGAAGAAGAAACAGAAGGCAGCTGGAGGACAGAGCAAATATCTGATACATTTTTTATTGATATTTGTACTTATAAACTTTTCATTGATATTTGTACTTATAAACTTTTCATTGATATTTGTACTTATAAACTTTTCATTAATATTTGTACTTATTATCTTTTCATTGATATTTGTACTTATAAACTGTTCATTGATATTTATACTTATAAACTTTTCATTGATATTTGTGCTTATAAACTTTTCATTGATATTTATGATTATAAAATTTTCATTGATATTTGTACTTATAATCTGTTCATTGATATTTGTACTTATAAACTGTTCATTGATATTTGTACTTATAAACTTTTCATTGATATTTGTACTTATAACGTGTTCATTGATATTTGTACTTATAAACTGTTCATTGATATTTGTGCTTATAAACTTTTCATTGATATTTGTACTTATTATCTTTTCATTGATATTTGTACTTATAAACGTTTCAGTGATATTTGTACTTATAAACTGTTCATTGATATTTGTACTTATAAACTTTTCATTGATATTTGTGCTTATAAACTGTTCATTGATATTTGTACTTATAAACTTTTCATTGATATTTGTGCTTATAAACTTTTCAGTGATATTTGTACTTATAAACTTTTCATTGATATTTGTGCTTATAAACTTTTCATTGATATTTGTACTTATAAACTGTTCATTGATATTTGTGCTTATAAACTTTTCATTGATATTTGTACTTATTATCTTTTCATTGATATTTGTACTTATAAACGTTTCAGTGATATTTGTACTTATAAACTGTTCATTGATATTTGTACTTATAAACTTTTCATTGATATTTGTGCTTATAAACTGTTCATTGATGTTTGTACTTATAAACTTTTCATTGATATTTGTGCTTATAAACTTTTCAGTGATATTTGTGCTTATAAACTTTTCATTGATATTTGTGCTTATAAACTTTTCATTGATATTTGTGCTTATAAACTGTTCATTGATATTTGTACTTATAAACTTTTCATTGATATTTGTGCTTATAAACTTTTCATTGATATTTATACTTATAAACTTTTCATTGATATTTGTACTTATAAACTGTTCATTTATATTTAAACTTATAAACTTTTCATTGATATTTGTGCTTATAAACTTTTCATTGATATTTATACTTATAAACTTTTCATTGATATTTGTACTTATAAACTGTTCATTTATATTTAAACTTATAAACTTTTCATTGATATTTGTGCTTATAAACTTTTCATTGATATTTGTACTTATAAACTGTTCATTGATATTTGTACTTATAAACTGTTCATTTATATTTAAACTTATAAACTTTTCATTGATATTTGTGCTTATAAACTTTTCATTGATATTTGTACTTATAAACTGTTCATTGATATTTGTGCTTATAAACTTTTCATTGATATTTGTACTTATAAACTTTTCATTGATATTTGTACTTATAAACTGTTCATTGATATTTGTACTTATAAACTGTTCATTTATATTTAAACTTATAAACTTTTCATTGATATTTGTGCTTATAAACTTTTCATTGATATTTATATCTATACAGGGTTTGACTGTGGCTCACAAGCAGTCTGAAGTGCAAGAACTGCAAGGGAGACTACACCAGACTGAAGTTAATAATCGCCTGCAAGAGAATGTTCTGCAGCAAATGATGGGTGATAACATCAGCATTGAAACAACACACACTGACCTCCATGGTTAGAGCAGCTTTTCTTGTATCATAGCGGTGCAAGTTCATATTTCTAATGTCTTTAGATGTGAAATTACTGTTGTCCTGTAGTTGGTTCTTTTTCAGAGAAGTACTCATAAATTGTTTTCTTATTACTTGTTTCTTATTATTCATATTCTTCAAACTAAGTCATTGGCTAATAAGACTAAAGGCCATCTTGTTATTAGATAGTATTTACATTTATATCCTCTAATTCATAAGCTAGTTTGTTGTCACTCTTGACACCTGTGATAAACAGAAGTTGTATCTGTTTATTTAGTAGATACGATTCACTTAGTCAAGAAATCATCTACTCCTCTTGACCAGTATCAATCTTATTCCCATCTTTCTCATTGTCAACAAGAAGCTATTTCTGCAGATCCTGCCATAGTCTTGTTAGTAAAATATAAAGCGAAAGACTCCTGTCCACTCAATAAGCTTATTGGTGCTGGTCCCCTATTCGATGTCTTAAAACTGCTGTTGCACTCTTCAGTTCCTGGAATGCATCAATGATGCTTTGCACCCAAAAATGAGGACATGAGTACAACACTTGCATCTTAAGCCTGTTATCTGAGGGACACCAACTCTGAGATCCCCTGCCAGCTTGGTTCGGGTCAAAAAAGGTTAGCTCTATCATAGTGCACAACAAGTACATGTGGCAGGAGTCTTGTATGAAAAACATTACAGAGCCCGCTCTGGAGTATCTCTTTGTATACATCACAACGGCCTTAACTTTCTCTGTGACCGAAATCACTGTAACACCTCTTAGGAGACTTTGACATTTCACAACAAACCTGTTTAACCAACTAGTTCTTATTTTTTTTTTTTAAAGTCGAAATTTGTTATTTTTTGTGTGAATAAGGTGAAGTTTGCAGATTTACTAAATTGAGATATTACTTGTATATCAAAATCATACTAATGTGAACGTTGCATAAATTAAAACAAACTAATGCACTTTTGTGGGGGTTTTTCAGATGGGGAATCAGTTTCAAGATCAATCTCATCATCTCCCATAGAAAGGTAAATAAGAAAAAAGTGTATGTGTGCATGGGTGCATACGTGGCGTGTGTGTGTGTGTGTAATTTTATTCGTTTGATTCACAGTTATAAAGTACTAGTATATGCAAAATGAAATGATTAATGAAGATAAGGCAGAAAAAGATACATTTATGCTGACAGTTTATAATGTTGTACTTATCTGAGGGTCATTGTACTTGTTTGCCTGCTGGTAAATGGTCTTGTATGCAAATCCATTGTAGGCTGGAATACATTTCAGATGACCTGGGCTCCCAGGTTAATGAAGCCTTCTTCTTCATAACCTTCACGGGCTGTAAACTTCAGCAGAAAGTTTTGGTTGTTCGCCTACTTGTGGACTTTTTTGCTTTTTAATAGAAATTTATTTTTACGTGTACATCTGTTTTACAGGTCTGGTATATTTGTATGCAGACTGTTGGTTGCTTACCTCTCAGGCAGATACCCTCTGACTGAGAAGGCAATACCTGTAATTAGTTGAGTCTTTTGCAATAAGCTTGTTAGAGGAGCATTGGGTCTATTCTTGCATCCACCAGAACCCAAATGGGGAGTTAACCAAGCCCAGAGTGGGTCTATTCTTGCATCCACCAGAACCCAAAGGGGAAGTTAACCAAGCCCAGAGTGGGTCTATTCTTGCATCCACCAGAACCCAAATGGGGAGTTAACCAAGCCCAGAGTGGGTCTATTCTTGCATCCACCAGTACCCAAAGGGGAAGTTAACCAAGCCCAGAGTGGGTCTATTCTTGCATCCACCAGAACCCAAATGGGGAGTTAACCAAGCCCAGAGTGGGTCTATTCTTGCATCCACCAGAACCCAAATGGGGAGTTAACCAAGCCCAGAGTGGGTCTATTCTTGCATCCACAAGAACCCAAATGGGGTGTTAACCAAGCCCAGAATGGCTACCAGGCAAGCATGTAATGAGCTGGTGTATGTAGAGCTAGAAATTATCTGCTAGTGAAAGCTGCTAGAGATATGAACTTAGCACCATATACCCATAATGCTCCATGGCATTAAACAAAATTCCAAGAGAGATAACAATTGAAGGGGGCATTCTCTATATGGTTCCTTGTCAAGTTTTGTTTCGGAAAATGATGGATGCAATGTTTCTATTCTTTGTTTTTCCTAATTCCCCTGTTAACATGTAGGCTTATAACTAATTCCATTATCATCATTGTTGTCATCCCCTAACACTGCATGTCATTGGGTCACCAATTGTTGTTGACTGCCTGATCAGCTCCCTCCACCTCTGACGATCAATTTCAAAAGACTTCATGGTTGCATGCTTAAGGCCTGTCCAGTCGGTCAAGTTCTGTATCCAAGTTCTTTCTTGGTCTGCCTCTTCTACTCGTCCCCTCTGCTAAGCCTTGTAGTATTGTTTTTGAGAGACTGTTAGATCTTATTTAGATCTTATTACATGCCTGTCATTCAGTCATTCAGTCATTCAGTCAGTAGCATGTCCTTTGCAGAACCTTGCTCCCATAACAACCCTGTGGATAACTTCTTGATAACAAGCAAGATGTCCCGCGTCTGATACACCCATCTGTAGATCATCCCCCACATCCTACGCCCATCTTCTCTTTAGCCTTTCTCTTCCTCTCTTCCCAGGCATATACCATGCTTTGTAATTCCAAAGTACCTGGTTAAATTCTAGCTATAGGCAATTTGAGCTATTTGTCTCTTAGGGGCCCTTCCCCCCCCCCCTTTCCCCCACCCATTTTTTTTCTATTTGTTATTTTTAGTAAATGTCTTCATATCCTGACTTCCTAAACTATTGCACAGACGTAAAACAGCCAGTAGTAATAATTATGCATCACATAAACAAGTCACTATGGACAAGTCGGAAAAGTTACATTTACAATTGGGCCCAACTAGAAGTTTCATTTTTATGGCTTTAAAAAAAAAAAAGGCCTAAATCAGATTTACCAGGTCTGTGTGTGTGTGTGTGTGGGGGGGGGGGGCATTTTTTTAGTATTTTGCTTTTTAAATATAAATCTATAACATGTTTTCAGTTATTTTTATTATTCTTTTGTCTTCTTCAAATATCATACCAATGTGGATTATCATGGTGATCTCTTGTTTTTATTCAATTTGTCTGTATACATGTATGTCTCTGGGACTTTTGCTTGCTGGAACTACATATGCCTTATGTTTCTCAATATGCATGTGTAGTTTTATTAATAGTGAATTTTGCTCGTTTGCCTTAACCTTGAGTGTGTGCTTGTTTGTGCTGCACTTGTACAGTAGATTGGCTTATCTATGATTCATGTGTTGCTGGGCATCGTATTTCAGGTAAGTGTGGTGTTTGAATTTCTCATTTAACCACCACAGTTGCTTTTATCATCTTTGTCATCATTTCACAAAATGTATTTTGTTGTTTCAAAACCCCACAAGTGTTTTTAACTCCACACCTTATCATTCTCATGCATGAGGCTGTAACTATAACTTCAGTTGTTACTATTGTTTTTCAACTCCATCTATATCGTTAACTATTTCTTTAATGTGGCTCTTCGAGTAGTTGAGTTGAGTCAAGAATTGACATCACAGCACTCGGGGCATTTTCATGCATGCTCTGCCCCTATCTTCAGCAGCCAGCACAGAGTTAGAATACTAATGGTACTGGTCGTAGTCTGGTTATACGTCTGTCTCACCTTTCCTCTGAATGCTGTGAGCCGACCAGACCCTTGGGTCACACACAGGTGCATCATTCTCTCTAGGCCATAGTAATCCAGTTTCTTTTCTGACTCCGTTACTTGACCACATCTGCCTTGTCATAAATCAACTCACCCCCCATGATGCAGATCCAGCCAATTTGTCTGCCTTTTCAATACCCACCACACCAGCATTACATGGAGAAAAGATCCAAATTATGCTCACTACCCGTGACCTTATAATGAAGTTTGTTTGCTTACTTGTAGTTGGTTACTTTGTACTACCGAAAATTTTAATTTGAGAAAATACAACAGCACCTGGTTTCATTGTTTAGGCATAAATTGATCAACACTTGATGATTCGATAAATCAAAAACATTTTAACACATAGGATATGTGTGTAAAACACTAGAATTTGTTCTAAAATGTAGTGATGGGCATTAGTAATCATTAGAAGAAAATCTTGTATAAAGTGTAAAGTTAAGAATGTGTGAAGGGCAACAGTTTCCGTTCATATCTCGAGAAATGGCAAAATGGTAATGTAAAAAAAAATTTTTTTTAAACAAAGTATTTATATCTCATTTTTTAAATTTTATTTTATTTTCACAAGATGTAAGTTACATCTCGTTCCAAAAGAAATTCTTATATTGTTCTCCATAGATTATTTTATGTGTGTTAGGTTGATTTGTATGCGTTTATTGGTTTTAAATGAAAGTAGCCATATAATTAATTTGAGAGCCACTATGGTGTAACGGCTAGATGCTCATCTGTCAGTCTGAAGTTCATTGGTTCAAATCCATATAAAAGCTTGAATTTTCATAAAATGATCTTGATTAAAGTCCTTGATTAAAGGTAAAGTCCTGGGAAGTAAAGACCGCTGGGTGAAGCTGACAGCATCACTCATCAAGGGTCACTTGGTCAATAAAATTTAAGTCTAGCCTCATATGCCCAATTAGATAAATGTAAGCCAGATAAAAATTTCCCCATAAGATAAAAATAAGCCCGCTATCATTTCTCAGATTAGTCAAATGCAAGCCCACAATAATTTACCTCTCGCATAAATTTAAGACCACTGTAAATTATCATAGTAGATAAATAGAAGCTCTCTATAATATCAGCCATTAGATAAATTTAATTCACTTCATGTCAGACTTCATTCTCTTTGTGTAATACATTTTCTGTTGGCCTAATTAGTGAGTTCACTGTGTGGATCTGTTGCAGTTCACTATTATTTTATCTAGCCTAGTCAGTTTTTGCATGCTTAAGACCATATCTTTTACTGTTGTATTTTTTAAATCCTTTATTTCAAATATATTAATTTAAATATTTTTTTTACACATAATTAAAGCATAACTTAGTATTGAACTTAATTGTGTATTTTTTTTTAGAACTAACATGAAAGCAGTTGATACCAAATATAATGTTATATATAATCAGAGCTCATTTCTGTTTTGAGTACAAGTGATTGCACACATTTTGAGCAACTTTTTTGTGTTGAAATATAATATTTTTTAAAGTTATACTGTTGGTCAGGAAGCCGTGATAGCATAGAATCTGGTGAGACAGTGATCTTTTGAATCCTGACAAAAGTGATGTTAGGTAAACTTCATAGACAAGAAATTTTGTCTCTAATAGTCGAACCATGGTAGATGAACAAGACCATTATGGGTCTTGTTTTGAACTTTGCATTATTGCTGCATGTAGTGGATTCTAGATATTTAACTCTATCAATACCAAACAGTTGTTACTTTAACTCCTTATATCCCAAGGAGTTGAGCTTAATAGCAGTACATACTTAGATCTGAAAGAGGTCTACAGAGCAGCCAAAAGACAGAAATGGTCACGCTAATAGTTCAGATATTTTTTTTTTAAATGGTTGACACTTTCAGCACCCAGTAAAAAGAATTTAACTCTTTTTGTCCCAGAAAACTTCTACTCTAACTACTGCATGTTAGAATCAGGGCAACAGCTGGATTAAAGCGTGTAAATGTTCATAGAGTTTGTATAAGAAGTAATGGGAAACATATAGTCTCTCTGCTGTTTGGTACTGAATGTTTTAAAACTCCAAGAAATGTGTCATAAGTTGTTTGTTTGGTACTGAATGTTTTAAAACTCCAAGAAATGTGTCATAAGTTGTTTGTTTGGTACTGAATGTTTTAAAACTCCAAGAAATGTGTCATAAGTTGTTTGTTTGGTACTGAATGTTTTAAAACTTCAAGAAATGTGTCATAAGTTGTTTGTTTGGTACTGAATGTTTTAAAACTCCAAGAAATGTGTCATAAGTTGTTTGTTTGGTACTGAATGTTTTAAAACTCCAAGAAATGTGTCATAAGTTGTTTGTTTGGTACTGAATGTTTTAAAACTCCAAGAAATGTGTCATAAGTTGTTTGTTTGGTACTGAATGTTTTAAAACTCCAAGAAATGTGTCATAAGTTGTTTGTTTGGTACTGAATGTTTTAAAACTCCAAGAAATGTGTCATAAGTTGTTTGTTTGGTACTGAATGTTTTAAAACTCCAAGAAATGTGTCATAAGTTGTTTGTTTGTTTGGTACTGAATGTTTTAAAACACCAAGAAATATGTCATAAGTTGTTTGTTTGGTACTGAATGTTTTAAAACACCAAGAAATGTGCCACAAGTTGTTTGTTTGGTACTGAATGTTTTAAAACACCAAGAAATGTGTCATAAGTTTTTTTTTTTTGGTACTGAATGTTTTAAAACACCAAGAAATGTGTCATAAGTTGTTTGTTTGGTACTGAATGTTTTAAAACACCAAGAAATGTGTCATAAGTTGTTGATTGTTTGATACTGGATGTTTTAAAACACCAAGAAATGTGTCATAAGTTGTTGTTTGTTTGGTACTGAATGTTTTAAAACACCAAGAAATATGTCATAAGTTGTTGTTTGTTTGGTACTGAATGTTTTAAAATACTAAGAAATGTGTCATAAGTTGTTGTTTTTGTACTGAATGTTTTAAAACAACAAGAAATGTGTCATAAGTTGTTTTTTTTGGTAATGAAGAGTTAAAGGTGTTCATTTCTAGTGTTTTATTCATTTACTGTAATATTGCTCCTTGTTAGCTATTCTTAAGGATCTTTCTTTATTAATTTATATTTTTATGATAAATGACTCAATACAGTGATTATATGATATATAATTTAGCAGCCATACAAGATGTTCTTCATCGTTCGTCCGAGCGACGGAAATGTGTTGAGCCTGTTTACAGCATAGCTACAATATTTGTGCCATTTGACAGACACATCCAATT